GGTGGAAAAGGCAAAATGAGGCACGAAGCCCCCAGGGAAGGGCTTCCCCGTAAAAACTTTGGGGAGTAACCCCCCCCCCCCCCCCCCCAGGTCGGGGTCAAGCCAAGGCAGAGGCAGCAGTGGTGGATTCATTTCTTCAAGCAATGGGTGCCTGCTTATCCAGACAGTAGTAGAGATGATCTAAGTGTAAATTATGTATAAACCATGCATGGCTCTGTCAGAAATCTAAATAGACACTGTACATGGCAACTTTTTAATAAGGTTATGAGTTTAGTTGCCTTTATTATTAATACAAAATTGAAACAAGCTTTCGTTCATGTTCCCTTGAAATAATATTTTGGCATTATTATTTATTATGGTATGAAGAATGGCTTTTCTTTTGAAATATTTTCCTTCCATCCAGAAACAGTTATTCTGCCTTTTTACAGGTATTTATCAACCATAAAATGTAAGCTGGGAGGACAAGAGGCTAAGGCCAGCATCTGTTTTCTTGAACCTACAAGGAACAGTTCAAGGCACAGGATTTGTATCCTTTTGTTCTTGAAATAATTGGATAGCTTAACGTTTATTATCCATCAGGCACGTCAGTCCCATTTGCTTTTCACAGGCTTTCCATTCTGCACAGACACAGACACGGTATGTTTTTTTCCTCCAGTTAAATTCATGTATCCAAGAAAGAGAACACAGCCAACAATAGCCACCGTACCACTGATCATTACCACTTTGTTCTACAATGTACAATATTGGGTTGTGTTAGAAAACAGCAATATGAAAAGTGAAATCATGATTTCACTTAAAAGGCTTAATTTGATAGTGAAACCAGATTGCATAAATTCAAGCTGGTTTGACCCATAGTGACAAAATGAACCACAGTTTGGGTCTGGCTTTCAACAAAGGTACACTTACGAGTTTGCCCTATAGCTTCAATATGAGGTCTAACTGGAACTCAAATGTAAGTGAGAATAAGTTTAGATGGTTACAACATCAAAATTCTTTTCATCGACAGTTAGGGAAAAACTGAAAATAAATCATTCCCAAATTTTCAACAACATCTGTCTGTCTTGTTAAAAAAAAAAGTCACATTCAGTTTTGATCTACAGGGAGGAGAGGGAAGGGACTTGAGGCAGGGGTACTTTAGGAAAGTTTGGTTAGGAAGGTGTTGCTTGAACCCCAGAGTTATCAGTCCATACCAGACCTAGTTTGGCTGAATTTTGCTACCCTATACTAGACTTTACTTCCAAAATCTCTCCCTACCTTTGAGTCACTGTTTTCTGTTAATTACTAGATCAATGTCAACACTTACTTTGCTATTAAGCTGAGTTGTGGGATAATTCCTTGTTTCCCTAGTCTAGACTAAAATCTTCAACCAAGTGATCAGTTTCTTGAAAAATGATTCCATATTGAATCTAGAACCAAACTCTCTGATTTCTTTACCTTATCCCAGACTAAAAAACCATACCCTTCACAGGAGCACATACCAGTATACCTATATACAGACTTGCCAACCCCCAAAAGACAAAAAAATGCCAGATTCTGAACCTAGAGCTGGCAAAAGTACTGAGAAATGGGTAAAAAGTCGTTAGATGTTCCAAACTCCCTTGTGGAGGGACTTCCAGAGGGGATTATGGGTATTGGACGTCCCATTAAAGCTGCAGCGGTAAACATCACGATCAATTTTAGACGATTTAGTTTTGTAACATCTAAGTTTTGTTGGCGTGGAGTCTGATTTTAAAACTTCTGTAAAAATGAGAACTGTTTCTAGGTGACGTGGGTCAGCTGACCAAATCTTGCTTGGCGAAAAACCCGAAAAAAGACCCGAAAAACTGAACCCCCAACCAAAAACAAACTTATCTAAGAAACTTAAATTATAAATTTAACGTTTACTCACGGGTTTGATGAATAATTCTGGATTAATAAGCCGAAATGCAAACGTAGATTGCTGACCGGGGCCTCTGTTTCTTCCTTGAGAGGACGCCATTTTCATTTTTTCATGTGAGGGAGCTGGACACTAGTTCTTAGTTTCTTGCCGGGCGGCACGCTCAATTTGACTTAAAATTTGACTCCGTTTCTCAGAAAGGCGCGAAATCTTTCGTGGGGCTTTTGCAGGCCACAGAGCGAAATAATAGTCGTCTGGAATTTAATTTTCATGGAGGCAAGCAGGAATCCGAATCTATTACTAGAAATCAGACGTGCGCAGTGTTGAAATGTTTCCTCAAAAGAGTCTCATTTCAGACCAAGAAGCTCTACGTGCTAGAAGTGATGATGGCTTAATCTTCGAAACGAAAACTCTAAGGACCTCTAAGACGCTGAGCAAACCTGACTTGGCTATAACGACGAATTTGATACTGGAGACATTTTTACCTCAGAACAACAAGAACTTTTGAATCTTATCGAGAAGCAGGACGTGAATGAAGCAAGAGGGTTTTTTAATCGCTGTCCTATGTCCTGACCAGGAGCCCATAACCCTGCCTATGTTCGATGTTTAGACGAGTGTGTGGGCCGGCTGCAACGCAGGCTAGATGTATTAAGCCGAGCCCAGATAGGGAGAGCGTGAGCGCTTTCCATTTAGGAAAAAAACCCAGAAATTTCGGTGGTAGCAAAAGTGGAATTTCCGATTGGTAAAAAGTTGTTCCATTTGGTCGTAAATCGCGGTACGTGGCGGCAAACTACGAGAAACGTAAATGGAATACGACATTCCGTTCGGAAATTCCAACCGGGAAAACGGGACCACCTTTTTAGATTTTCCACTTTTTCTGGGAATTTTCCAGTGGGACGAACCGACGAAGCGTGTTCCATTTACCCCCGAACCGGAAATTCCGGAAATTTTGACTAAATGGAAAGCGCCCCGTCTCTTCGCTTAGCCATCTACAACGAAACATCCAATCATAAGAGACTACTGCTAGGCAAAATGGAGGAAGACGACGCGTGGTTTGCCTCGATTCTCACTGGCACTGCTTTTATTCAGTGGCGGATCCTGACCTTCAGATAAGGGGGCGGGGGGGGGGGAGGGGGCAGTCATCCAAACCCTGAGAGAAGGAGGGGGGCGGTCTCAAAAAAAAATTATTTCGGTCCTCAGTTTGGTCTAAAAATGTGAGGCGGGGGGGAGGGGGGCTCCTGTGGGTCGGCCACTGTTATTTTGTGTCCACACTTTTCAAGAGGTTCTTTATTTTAAGGTACTCAGGGTATAATAAAAAAAGCTTTTGTAACCACCAAATCTAACGCTTTTTAGGGTGTTGAAATGGTGAAGATAAAATAGGGTGGTATATCTCAAAGGACAAGGGTACTCAAACAAACCGTAGAGCGTTATTTACACAACAAGACTGAAGGGAAAAAGCCGCCATAGCTGGTCCCAAGCTATTTGAAATTTAACCCAAAACTCTGTAAAACACGAAAGAAACGTAGATACAATAGAGCCAAGTGACCCTTTCAAGTGTATAAACCCCAACAGTCAACTGTGTGAGTTGACAGTGAAGAAGCTGAACTACTATAGTTGAACAATTCCTTGTCAGGAGTGCATCATAATTAATTAGTGCATCATAATTATAGAGAAAACCAAATTTCTCTATCATTAATCAGTACATTACCTGTGAAACACTGCCAGTTAGTAGGGTCGGAAATTTCCGATATTTTCAACGAGGAAGGAAATGTGCGCTTTTTAGCTTCTTCGTTTTAAGTTTATGCTTAACATCGCAAGTTTCTATTTTGCTACAATGAAAAGCACAACAAAAAATTGTGCTCTAACCTGATTTTCGTTTTGTTGTGTCTTTACAGCGAGTCGACGAAACATGTCTGTGAGCAGAAGCTCGACTGCGTTTGCCACAGAACTAATGCTGATCAGTTTTCTAATTTCAGTATATAACTGGCCTGCAATGTTCGCTAAATCATATTGAGAAACCTTAAATCAATTGCTTTTGGTGATATTCTAAGTTCTGAATAAACTCTCGAGTCTGGAGTGTCTGAGTGGTAATTAAAATCTTCTCTTTGCTAATGCCTATAGCTGTAGATTTTTCTCGGGGTCCTCTGGTAACCTCTCTTTCTTTTTTTCGTCCCCTGCATGGGACGTTTCAAGAACAAAAACAGTTAAAACCCTCGAGCTGAGCAGGATTGGATCTCCTCTTACAAGTAATTAGCAAAACCTTGACAATCCAGCCTGATAAGAAAAGTCTGGTAAATGCGTGCTTATAAATTTTCACAGAGTTTTGTGAGCGACCGGTCAGCCTTTGAACCACCTTCAACGGCCCTTGACATCGAGAAGGGCGGGAGAGAGAAAGGGAGACGGTAATGGGGAGACGAAAGGGTCGCATTTCTGGGGCCGCTGGCGCCCGCTAAATTCCGATTGGCTGAGACACATGGAGTTACTAATAGCGGAGCTCCAGGCGTGCGCGAGCGGATCCCCATACCTAAGAAAATTTGTTTATCTGTCCACCCGAGAGATTTTGGTGATCACGTGACCGTTTGTCCGCTCGTCTGTCGCACCACGGGGAAGTTAATGTGAAATGTAAAACTTTCTAGCTAGTGTGGCAGGCTGTGACCTATGTTTAACTTGATGATAGACGTCCATATTATAAATTGACAGCTGATCAGAGTCACATGACCATATCGCGGGCTCAGGTGACAATTCATCGAGGTCACGTTTTTTCCGCTGACCAGTTATTAGCTTTTAATTGATCGCAGGCTTACGTTAACGTTTTTCAGTCATATGGTTCTCCCAAGTCCATTGTCTGAAGTAAATTTAAAATGCATAAACTGGAGCTCCCTATATATTACTACAAAATGAGAGTTGCACGGTTTCAACAAAACTAATAAAGATAGCGATGTTAGACGTGGTAACAAGGATTTCGAGTGTTGTCATTTTCCTGTTCCCTTTGACGTTTCCCCCGCTCACGCAAGCTACACGCGAGCTACATCTTTCTCATCTCCCCTCTTCTACCAGAATTAATGGTGTAAGGCATAGCCGGCCGGCAAATACATTATGTACTAATAAATTGGGTTCTTTACTGAGGAATACGTCTACAGAGGATTTTGTTACTTGGAGAATCGTCGCTTTTTGTAAAACAATTCCTTTTGAACGGTAAAAGTTAGGGAGTGAGGAGAGTAGCAGACCTGATCCCAGACAATGATACAGAACAATAAAGACAGTTCCTCTCATGATCTAACAATTTTAATTTCGTTTTTCTTTAAATGAAAGTTGTTCCTTTTTTAAAGGTATTATTCTACTAAAATAGATTTGATTGAAATACAAGCAGTGCCTGCATTGACTTAACGAAGTTTTTTTCAAAGTACCTTACATAATTTTTGTTATACACCAATCATAATTCGAGTATAACTTCTAACAAAGGACATCTGTAAACTTGAGTTGGTTTTATAATTGCTACTTTTTATGATCTCCACCGAAGTCTATCGGTTCACTATATATTGCAAGGTATAATTAGTACCACTGATACATGAAATACAGAAAGATGCGTCTTACAAATTACATCATTAATTGCCTTTGTTTGAGCTTGGAACAATTCTCCAGGCAGCCTTTTTACTCAATATCTTTATCACGCATTAGGTCTCCCAATGTTTACATCGTTTATTGAAACAGCTTCCTGAAAAGCTGTTTTTGGTACACATACTTTGTAGTACTTTGCTGCAATTAGCAAACAGCAAACCGCTCGCTTGGATCTTGTTATCTACAGTCCATCTATGAGTTGCTTAGCCTTTGGTCCAGCTTTATTAGCGAAGAAATAAGCAGCTTTTTTTAGTCCAAGACCATGAAGATAGCGTGCATACTCAGTGTACACAGCATGGACCAGTGCAGCTAATACAACACGAGTCAAGGATATTATACACTTTCGATAACACATAGCACAGTCTGCAAGAAACCTCCACTCGTCGGGTACGTGCGTGTTTCCTTTTCCTTCCCCGCTGCGGCCCCCACCTTCCGTGAGATGAATTCTAACTATCTTTTATCAGATTATCACGCAACGCCACGCTCTCGAAGTTGCGTAAAAGAAGGTCAGAAATGGACTACCCGAGGCTTTTCTACAGGCTCTACACTACACTGACTAGTTCCCCCGTTTTTAAGCAGTTTTATTCTACATAACTTCTTCTTAACCTCAAGAACAATCTTGAAATAGAACTAATGATCATATTCTGGTGGCTCTTGTTGGCAGGGCGTCTCAGAGACAACACCATGGGAAGCAGTTCAAATCAACTAAGCTTTGCAAGGATACTGTTTTTTTCCTCTTCGGGAGAAAGAAAACCAAACTCTTGACAAGCTTCTGCAAACAATCCTGCTCGGTCAAAATACCGCATGCTGCAGATAAATAATAAATATAAGGTACATCTGACCGCGCGCGTTTGTGCTAAAATTGAACATTACATTTTCCTTAACTTGTACTGAGATCACCATCGTAGTCACTCATTTGAACTGACCGAAAGAGATCTGGGTACGAGATAAACATCATGCAGTGATGCCACTCTCCGCAAGCTAACAACAATTTTATCGCAGTTTTTTTCGTGAATTGCTTCACAAAAAACACACATTTGGTGTTTACTATACTACTCTCATTCCTCCCTTAAACCTTAATATCTTACCACAGGGTGATTGTAAGCATTATAAGAGACATCACTGTTTACAAACATTGTTATTGTAATTCAAATTTGTAACAAGTGAAACAAAAGCATCTTTTGTGTCAAGAACATATGTGCTTCTGGTTGGCACATTAATATTGATAGGCGACGCCTGCAGCGTGAGTATAGCAGAAGTCCAGAATCCAAGCCACATGAGAGTGAAGGTGGGAGGAGTGAAAGCTGGGTTAGCTGGTTGGCACGTGTAAACGTATAATAAGCTCGCTCCCCAGTCTTATATTCGGATATTCGAGAGAAGAGCTACGATGCTTCAACACGATTCACGCCTAATTTCTACTTACCCAAGTTAATGGAATTAAAAAACCGTTTTCGACGCTCTTGTTTTCAACCATGTGAAACTTAAATTATATCCTTATCTTATACAGTTTTTCCACTTACCTGTACAACATATCTAGAGCTTTATAGAACTTGCCCAAAGAAAGTAACACCAATACAGCCTTGCTCTGAAAAAAACAAAACAAAAACAAAAAAAAAAACATGACAGCCTAGCTAAGGTTGGGTTATAACAAATCCCTTTCGTAGGGCCACATTTTTGCGTACAAATGACTCAAACATTGACAGTCTTCCTCCGCTAACTGGAGCACGTATCCACGCAAAAGAGAAGACCACTCTTTACTCGGTCACGCTTCCAATGCTCTTGGTGTGATAGTCCCACTAACAGTTGCCGCAAGACCCGGGAAAGAGTGGTATAGGGATCATATTTGAGTTAAGAAATACCGCATGTTCGTGAGGGGGTGGGAATCTCCACAGGATCGACACGGAGACAGAACGATAGCTAATAGCAAAACGCCTGGAAACTAAGCCCTCGTACTTTATCTGCAATGTTTACACCACACCCTATGTATTTTTGTGTCGAGATTGAAGGCTTTGTTGTTCAGCATGAACGGTGACGGCAGAGAAGTGGAACAAGCCGTTCACACATTCCACATATCACACTTCACACATCGTACCGGAGCGATTGGCCTAGAGGGTTTAGAGTACAAGATCCCATTCCTCAATTCGGAATATATACTTCTGCTCAGGGGGTTCCAGTCCTGGCTCCTACTCATTTACTGTCCGAACATCTGTTCACACTGCGACAAAGAGTGGCTGAAATAATATGTGACGGTCCACTTTTACGATTGCTACCGTTTCTTATGTGTGGACAGAAACCATATCCAATATGGTTTTCGTGCCGGCGCAAAAGCTATCAGGTATAGTGTGAAGACAGGCAAACGCTCTCATCTCAACATAACATACCTCAAAACCAACCATTCTACCTTTGAAGCCCCCTAGCCGAGCATAGCCTTATGTCATAAACTATTAAATTGGAGGCTTAATTGTTATTGTGTACTGACCTGCTGACTGGTGTATGTACTAGAAAGGTGTTCAATCCATCTTCTCATCACCTCAGCGCAGTCAGGGTAGTTGAGAGTTGCCTAAAATTTAGATTAGTCAAGCAAGCAGGCAGGCAATCAAGGACACTAAAATAAATCTTCTCCTTTCTTGTCCAATCACGGACCAAGAAAAGAGTCAAGAAAGGGTTTTGCGTTCTTATAAACTTCTTTACAGTTGTACTGGTTTTGTGACTATAAACAGAGCTTCTTACAAAAAGGGAAATTAATCAAGTCTAGCCGTTTGCAGTCGATTTGTAGTGAGCTACTTTGTTTGGTGAAACAGGGTATGGACGAAACGAGGAAGAGAAAGAAAAAAAACATCCACTGTCGTCTTGTACTTGTCATCCGTTCCCGTCCTTCTGTATTCCCACAATAGTACGCTTACGCAACAGGACGGGAGAGGAAATACCGTAAATCTTGTGGGACAAGCGTGACAGTAATTCCGTTTAAAAGCGCTTTCCGCCAACACCTGTTCTTATCTTTTCTCTTACTTTATCTTATGTTAAAGAACACGTAAGTAATAGCCTTGTTACGTTTGTCACACACGAGCGTTTTGCCGTCCTCTTCTTTCTGCTCGTGCACTAACTCGCGCGCCAGGCTCAGCCATAGTTTTGGTTCGCGCGCCACCAAATAGACCTGCTTCACAGACCAGCTAAAAACTTTTAATCCGGCTGCATATATTAAAATGTCGTTTTACTGAGAGCAGCAAAGATTTGAAGCGGGACACATATAAACAGAAGCAGTGTCATCAGCTATTATTTAACCTGTTGTTTTGTGTCGTCACATTTGTGGTTGGTCATGTCCTTTCTTATTACCTTTGCAAGCCAGGCTGCTCGATCCCATTCCCCGTAGGTCTGAAGATATCGACAGGCATCTAATCCTTTGTCAATCAAACACAGCAACTGCACTCCCTCTGTATTCAGTAAAACAAAGCAAACGTCAACAATTCACCCCCTCTTGATATTGCGCAATATTAGCACAAAATGAAAACATTTTCGCGACATTTGTACGGGCAACACAGGTCAAATTGTTAGATATTTTCCGTTCGAGAGAAAGAATGCCCAAAACTGGTCAGAACTAGTGATACATAAAGGGGCGCCATATTTGACTGGCTGAAGATGCCGGAATCTCAACGTAAGTTAATAAAATAGTAGACTGCAAAACAGTCGGTTTTTTTCTCAAAATCGGTTCAGCGTAGCTTAATAATCTTAAACGCGCAAAGCGTGAGAGCCTTGTGTTTGACTGTGCGCACGTACTTGAGTACGCAAAAACACGGACTGTTTTGCAGTCTAATAAAATAGGTTAAACGTACCAACCTGCTAATTTACCGCTGGCAATAAGATTTGTTGCTACAAGTTTTATTGTGCTTTGTGATGCGCCTGAAGAACGGATTGTTGCTACAAGACATGCTCTAAAAAGGAAATGGAACAAATGTAAAATTTTTGCTTCAGAATTAGTTTAGTTTCTTCTCGCTTGGTTCCAGTGTTCTCAGATGATATTTTTCTGAGAAAAAACGAGCCCTGTAGTGGTTGAAAAACATCCTTCAGGAAAGGTCTTAAAGGAGAATATGAAAGGCGTCCGAGGAACAAATGACAGGAATTGAGGTTAAGTTCAGTGTTCTGATTGTCAGTATCGACCAATATCCGTTTGAAGCGCAGCTCCTCGGACTACAAATAGACGATGACCGTGACATAGTAGGGAACTTAAGCAACTACGAGGACGACGATAAGGACAACGTAAAAAAAAACAATAGGTTTTATGAGCAAAACAACTGCTCTGCACGTGCATCACGCTTTTTAGTACATTTCTTTGACGTCCACTGCACGATTACGACGTGAAACCTCCCAATGCGACGTTTTGTGGAGGACATGGACGTACGACGACAAATTGTCCTTTCTCTATTTGAACTTGGATAGAGTCGTTAAGAATTCAACTCCAGGAAAACTCGCCTACATTTGACGAAATGTGCGGTTTCCAATACACGCGATAAAGTTTGAAAGGACGCAAATTCATTTTTTTAGTGATGTTTTCACTTCCGTCGTCGTCGTTAATGCTGAAGGTCCCCAGTTTGTTTAAAAAGACGAAGTGAGATTGCTGGGAGCATGTTCTGGCTGAGGAAAGGCTCCAATATCAGAAAACGGTTGAGATAAAGAGTAATAATACCTGAGAGAGTCTACATAATAGTTATCATTAGCAGCATCTGTCTCCAAGAAAAGCTGAACTGCTCTGTCGGCCTACAAAAACAACAGAATATCATGACATAAGGGTCAACCGTGAAAGGTTTCATAATTTGGTCAAGGTAAGAATTCTTCCAAGCCTACGACCGTGGTTGAGAGAGAAACAAAGATGTGATCAATTTTTTGCCCTAGTGAGCACACACAATCAGATCGAGATCGAGGCTAGGGGTGGACGATTTCATACAAATCACTGTATTTTGTCCACCCCAGCGTTGAATTGCTGCCTTTGTTTAAAGGAATGCAGAAACGCTCTTTTCTTGTTGTAAATATAAGATTATAACTCTATGCAAGAACTTGTTTTGCTCCTGGTCTCTTTACTAAATGTTTTTTCTGAAATCACCCAACCCCCCCACCTAAAAGGTCAAATGGTAAGAACCCAACAGATGAGAAAAACCGTTCTGAAATCATGTCGAAACTGAGTTAATAAAGAGTTCCGGCATACCTGTCCCAACAGCACCAGAGTTTCGGCACATTTCCTTGTGTGATCATATGTGGATCGTTTACTGTCATGAAGTGCAAGGCGATCGAGCTGACTTCTCTAAATAGCGAAAATTGCATTGTTAAATTGGGATTGTTCGTTAATTACCAACTACAGTGGTCAAAGTTTTTCAAACATTGGACACTGATGGTGAATCAGTGTTGGATTAACATTTTCAATAACTTAAAATCTTAAATTCAATGAACTGATAAGGGAGCTCAACAGCCCCCATAGCTAAGAAAATTTGGCTACTCTCCACCCAAGGAATGTTGGTAGTAAAGTGCCTGCCCGTCCGCGCCACAGGCAAACCAATGTGAAAATGTCACACTTTTTAGCTAGTGTGGGAGCGTACAACCTGATATTGCACATCCATGTTGTGGTCAATTGACAGCTGTCTAAACAGAGTATCCGTTGACCAGTATGACATGACCGTATCGCGGGCTCAGGTGTCGAACCATCAGGGTTACCTGTTTTTTTTTTTAAGTTATCCGCTGACAAGTTAGTACTTTTCGTCTGATCGCAGCCTTAACTCGAAGTGGATTTCTTTGCAATGGTTACAAGTTTAAAACTGTGAAAGTTTTGAACCCACGGCCAGGAGTCATTTCATAAGTAGGTTGAGTAGAGGTTATTGTTCAAACAAGTTTATTGTTTGAAGAAGATTATACGGCAGCTACGTCTTAGCCTTGGCTAAATCTATATATTACTGATAGGATATCACTTTCTAATTTTCTATAAGCAGTGGTCAAGATGAGCGAAACCTGATCAATGCTCGAATATCACTGGCTAATTTTGTATAAGGTCTATAAGCAATGGTCAAGATGAGCGAATATCGGCCAGTGTAATCAACATTTGTCCGTGGACAGCGAGTGTATTGATAAATGAATGTGACTGTGAGGGTTTGCAAATTATCACTTTCCTGTTTTAAAACAGACACACACCTGAAAAGCATCGGTGTCACTGATAATATCATAACAGGTGTCGAGGGAGACTGGGTAACAGCTGCAGCTTAAGCTCTCACTAGCTTCAGTTTCCTCTCGGCCACAGAGGTCAAGGTCGTCATCTATTGATAGTAGATCCAGGCTCCGGGCACTGTAGCTTCGTTTAATTTTGGTCGTGGATTCAGATGGATTAAAGAAGTCAACTGACTGTGACCTTGAACGACCACTGTACGAGGGCTGGTGTTCAGTCTCAAAAAAAATCAGTGAATAATAAACTAGTAACACACTACACATGTTAACAAGAGGACAGTAAATTTCAACAAATTTGACAGTGTTTGTGAGGCCCAAAATAACTTGAATGTTTTTTTTTCCCATCCTCTCAGCTTTTCTGGTCAAACAGTGAAGGCCGAGGGATGAAGTCGAGTCATTTTTTTCACACAAATGCAGTCTATCAGTGCCATGAAGCGTTTTTCAATTGTGTCAATTGAAAAAAGTAAAGAAAACCAACATTGACATGGTTGTAAAGAACTTCAAACGTACAGTGTTCATTTCCGGAAGTGAGATACTGACTGCAACCTGTACGCGAATATGTTACCTGATGTTTCAAACATAATATTCTTGACTTTTCTCGTCTGAGGTAGTGAAGAGCGACCTCCCAAAACACTGTCTCAGCTTCATCTCCAAATAAACTGAAAATAAATAATAATCAGTGAGTTTTCACAAACAACATTTGAAATCACTGGCTTCCCGAATGGCAAATTTCTAAAATCCTACTCTCTCGCTTTCATAGACTTCAAGTGCCATAACTATTATTTACACTACATACCATTAAAACATATCTTTTTGAGCGCAGATCAGTATGAATGAATTAACACTTTGAACCATATAACTCACTGTGCTGTTAAAAAACACTTTTGTGCGGTCCCCAGCGCTGTGTTCATCAGCAGATCTGTGGTGCTTCTGGAAATAAAAATATCGAAACACAAGATCTTAACGTGAAGGTTAGTCTGGTCTCTTTATCGCCCGAAAAATCACCTCTCGGAGAGGTGACGCGAACATGAGGCGATTTTGCAAACATTCTTGTTTTTCGCTCTCTGTTAATATGTCAAAGAAAAATAAGAATGTACTCGCAATAACAGTCGAATAGTTTCCGTAAGCTAAATAACTACACATAATTGAGTATGGGCGACTCTGATATACCTCATGGCAGGAGAGGGAGGGGATGGAATAGTGTTTCTGTTAAAAACGCCTAATGGGGGGGGATAGCATCAGATAAAGTACAAAGACGCTTGGGTGACATTTCCTGGAGTATTAAGAATGGCGGTTTTTATATAAATTAAAATAATGCAACAACCATTTGTAGCGAATCGAACCATGTGCCTGTTTTAGCAGCAGAATAATGCAACGGTCCGTTTGCGAAAGAGAGGTGTCTAAGATGTAAATATATAGTCAAGCCCAGTTTACGGCAGTAAATTACAATACTTACTGTGGAATCATCTTCAGTTGATTTTGAATTTCAGTCAGGGACTCTTTACTTTCTAATTCCCTAAAAAAAAAAATTTACTTTACTTTTGTCTTCCATTGTAGATGTATTTGTTTGATTCAGCTGATTATGCTCAACATCTATAATTAGCCAGAATGACCAGATCTTACAGCACGCCGGGACTGCTGTTTTTCGTTTTTCTTTCTGAACGATACCGTGTGACAGCGTGAGGGACGTCAGTAAAAAAAGAACAAATAGATGATGTGGTTTTCACTATAATAATAATAATAATAATAATAATAATAATAATAATAATAATAATAATAATAATAATAATAATAATAATAATAATAATATAGATTCTTATTAAGCGCATTTCTATCCTCAATGCGCTTTACATTATGAAAACCGATTGAAAATCATTACATTTCTAGCCCATTGTGACATTATACATCAAGTATTGTAAAACTTTAAAAATCCTAAAACGTTAAGCATGAAAATCAATTGTAACATCATACATCAAGTATTGTAAAACTTAAAAAAAATCCTAAAATGTTATCATGTTTGTAAAAACTTTAAAACCAACTTGTAAAACTTAAAAATCCTAAAAATGTAAGGCATGAAAATCAATGATCAAGTATTGTAAAACTTTAAAAAAAAACCTAAAATGTTAAGCATGAGAATCAATTGAAACATTTCCTGAATAGAAATGTTTCAAGTTTTGTTTTAAATGTTGTAACACTGTCCGCATTTTTGATATATTCTGTCTTAATGCTTCTTATATACCGTATACGTGTAAGAAGGTGAAGTAGAAGGAAAGTGCATAAGTGGGAAGAAAAGTTCCGATTAAGTTAGGAAAAGCGTCTTTGGGTCTCGTACACGGATGTAAAGGCTTTAGGGTTCAACAACACTTTAAAAACTATTTTTTCAAATAATCGTTTTGGTAATTCTATTCTTCGTTTAGCGCAACAGATGTACGTGGGTACCAGTGGTGAGTCGAGTTCAAGGCTCTCTCTCTCTCTCTTTTTTATTTACTAGAGAAAGTCATATTACCAAGCTGCCTCGAGGGACAATTTTGGTCTCGATCTGTAAGATAGGATGGAACTAAAAATTGATAAAACAGATTCGAACTTTCACCAGAAACTCATAAGGGGTTGAAACGTGTAACTCGCGTTCAATGCTTGTGAATATTCAGTTTTTCTAAGTACCATATTTGGAAACCTCGCTGCGGCCTTAAAAAGGCAACAGGTTCAAAAACAACCTTGCACGGGCATCACGCTTTTTTGTACATTTCTTTGCCATCACTACACGACTACGACATGAAAGTCCCTTTTGTGGGGGGCGAAAACACAATGCAGCGAATTTCTTTTTCTTTTCCTGAACTTTCACACCGTCTTTAGACGAACTGAACGAGGTGGAATAAGCGCGATCAAGTTTGAAGCAGCGCGAATACACTTTTTAAGTGACGCTTTTGTTGCTGTCGAGCATCGGACAAAGCAAACATATGAGAGTTACATGTTTCAACCCCTTATGAGATTCTGTTTTCACTAAATAGATCTTACAAGTCTGAAAAATCCGTCAGTGAGTACCGGTCCCTTCCAAGAGAGTGTTGAAGTAGAGACTTGAGAATAAGACTTGTCTTAGGTTCCATAATATACGGGCACCACAAAGGACCTATCAAATGAATTCAAACATATAGAGTGTTTTCACTCACGTGACCAGTATCTATGCAAATTTATTGGAACAAAAGAAAGCTTTGCATAAGAAAAGAGTTCAACTTTCACAGGACTGGTTTGGAACACCAACATGGCCGACGTGTCATTGGGTAAACGTTAGTTTCCATATCTCAAACCGCCCTAGGATACGTTGTGATGCCTACACAAAGTACTTGCATATATGTATATGTTGTGGTTCAATTTTCAAATCAGTTTCATTGTTTGAAAATTGAAATGACATAGTTGTTGCATACATGAAATTAATTTCCTCATTATTACGTACGTCATGAGCAGAGAATTCACAAGTAGGAAGTTGAAATTTCTAACTACGAACACTGAGAAGTTGTAGTCTAAACTAGAAATTCACTGCCAATTACTCAAGCAGGAATGCCGATTTAAATTTGAGGCCAGTAGCTGTAACAACTAATGGATTGGAGGTACGTTTGACTAAACATTCTGAGAAAACTCCGTATTCTCTCTCATCCATCTCGGGAACTTATGAAATCTGACAGAATTTAAGAAAATTGGGATTACGAGAAACTGTCATTTACAACTTGTATATTTGGCAGAGTTCCAAGGGAGCCAGGTGGTGATGAGGAAAAGAACACTTATAGGGGTCCTAGATACACTTTACTCTCAAGGTGCCATAGGAGCCTACCATCAAGGTCCATATCAGCCATAGCCGAGGAAGAGCTTTTTAGGCCCATTGTCATAACAACAATAGCTCCATTTGAGTGTGTCACAATTGGTAAATCTGATGCTAACCAATCCATGTCGACAAGAGGAGGAGAATCCTTTGGAAGTTTGTAGCTGCTGTAAACTTCAAACTGGTGGAAGAGAAAAAGAGCTCATTCCATGTTTATTTAATGGCCAAAAACGAGTTAACAACTTAAACCTTTCAATTGATGTTTTCATCTGTATACCTTGCTAGTTCACTACCCAAGCATTTCTCAGAACTTTGCTCAGTAGTCATTTTCTCACAATCATCATGAACCACTCTCGTCCGAACATATGAATGACGTCAATGTATTATTGGTTTAACTGATATTCAGTTATGTTTTAACAAGTTTCAGTGCCTGACGATATTTCACATTTTTGACATAATTGTCACCGTTCCATAAGGGCCCCCCTGGACCTCTCCCCTGGACCCGCCAGTGTAACCTACCTTTTGCAAATCCCAGATATCAATTCCATCACTGTAGAGTGCAGCAAGCTTGTTGTTTCCTCTTCCTGGACCAAATTTGATTTTCTTAATGTGACCTCGATGGGTAACCATACTCCTAAAATACAAAACTAGTAGTGAGTATAGTAGGGATGAAATTAACCCTGAATAAGGGGAGGAGTATTAAGTATTACTGGTAAGGTAATACGTAGCTGCTTTTTTTGTCCATCACAGATAACGATTTGAATCAGCTCCAGTTCAGGGATATTGGCGCCTTATTTGTGCATAGTAGTGAAGGTGAATGAAACACAACTCTTTCCATCACTAAAGACATAGACTACAGTTCACTCATTTGTATTGTTTTTCCCTCCTTCTCCTCCTCCTCAGTCAATGAGATTCCTCCGCATTTTTACAAGATGAAAACAAAAGGCTATGAAGTCATTGGTGCCAATGACTAAAGAGACATTTAACTCATAATGTTCTTACTGGCAAATGACATTTTTACTAATTACTGGTAATTCTATGAAAAAAAGGGTTTTCTAAGAGCAGCCACCACAAACCCAACAAATTTAATTACATCATTCTTCAAAGTGCATTATAAGTACAATAAGATATGTACGTGACATGTGCATTGTGTTGGTTACTGAATTAAGAACAAAAACTGCGTTAAAGTGAAAACTAACCTTGTTACTCTTGCCTTGAGTTCCCAGATGCTTAAATTACCATCTACATCAGACAACACTAACAGATCACCTTTCCATGCTATGTAGGTGACAAGACCAAGGGAACTCTGGGTAGTGGGGACAGCAAAAATAACCAAGTATTACTTGCAAGATTTACTAGTATCCTACCCCAAAAAGTTATCATTAAAACGTTTACTGAAATTTCTGTCTCATATGGTAAACAAGTTAACTTACATCACACTGAACTTTGGATCCATCTTTAACTGTTGTTCCTTCCACAAGAAAATGATAAAGTAGTTTATCTTGATCCACACACACAAAGTGCTCCCTTATCCATGACTAAAAAACACAAACTTGATTGTTATGCAACTTCAATATAGGGTCAACCAGTGATGAAGGGATTACTCTAGAGGGTAGCATTGCAGGGTTTCTGCAATTTAAAAAATAAGGCTGCATAAAATTTACATATGTGCAGCAAATGGGGTTTAGAAACGATAATCACTACTGAAGGCACATTTACCCAACGGATAAAAAAGAACATAAACGCTGTCTCATTTCATAAAATAATATTTCAGTTAACCATTAAGCTGTTATCAGCCTAGAAGTTTACAGAGAAGCCAACTGGCAGTGCTAGCGATGGTGAAATTCTGCACCATGACAATCAAGACAATGAAAAAGATGGTAGGTCAAAAAACAAAATAAATTCCCCTTCTTGAAAAAGGGCCCTCATCGGCCAATTCCTGGAATTAAACCCTGGTAATGGTGAACATGTGACACATGATTTTATTGTTAAGGAACCCTAATAACGAGGTGTCAAAAGGTACTGGCAACTGGCAATATCACCAGCTATTTCCCTAGTTTCACTGGGCACAGTTCGACAGTAAAGAGGACAGTAGAGGAAATAAAGGTGTCACTATCCGCCAGCCAATCTACTTCCTAACTTTCTCTTTTGATAACCCTGGGCTGTGATAAATTGCTTGTTCAGTTGAGCAGAATATTATTACAGAGCAGAAGCAGTAGGACAGTGAACCTGTGTTGGGGTGATATGTTCTGCCTTGCTTGGGTCCAGGACATTTGCTGCAATACCAGATGGACTGGACTCTAACTTCTGACTCAGCTTCTTTTTCAGTTGTTTAGAATGACTCGATGGAGACCATTCCTTTCAAAGAAAAAAAGAACAGATTTTAGTTACTTCTGTTGCTTACACGTTGATGGTAGCTATAACTTAACAATGGGCTGAGGAATGTGGATTAGCACAGTTGGTTAGTGAGCAGCCTTCTGGGTGGGAAGTTCCAAATTTCCTACTTCAGGTGTGACAACAAATCCTTCTTTTGACTTCTTTGTGTTCTGTGTAGCTTAAAGTAGCTTAAAATATCCATAAAACGGAGTACTGATGGAGAAGGAGGTGGGGTGGTAAAATGAGTGCACCTCTGGCCTCAGGTTTTTTAGTCAGGTGACTATTTCAATCCACCGACGTAAAAAAAAGGACTCTTTACCTTTTTCTTTTATGCCAGGTATTATATTGATAGCTCAGTAAAATGACATTTTTCTCTGAATCAAATTGCATTTTTGGGACATTTTAAAATGCAACTGACTGACAAAACTAACAAATGTCCAAGATTCCAAAGCAAACAAAAACATGACACTTAAAGCCTAGTATGTCTTACTTGGAAAAAAAGTTCTGCAAGTACACCATACTTTTTGTCAATTCTAGAACCTGTTAAAAGCAGGAGTTTGGTTTATTACACATTATTGACATTTATGTCCTGCTTACACCAAAAATTCTTCCATTAACACTAATTTTCCCGGCTGACTGTTACATACCAAAGCAGTCACTGATGAGAAGTTAGATGGCATTTCTCTAAGAACTGTTAAGTTCTTTAAATCCCACAGCTGTAGCGGCCTGTCTTTGATTATGACAATGAAGTATTGCCTGCCAAATAAAAACAATTGCTAAAAAAAGAACATCAACTAAAAGATACAGCTGCTGGTACTGGAAAAAAAACTGACAGTCAAATTACAGTCTGGCATTTCACAATCAGGATTGCATCTTGTTGGCAAAATCCATCAATTTATTGATTATTATGGTTGCTTAAAATGGTCTAATTGCTCCTTATTATATGACAGTTGCTTTTGGATTTTGCAGCAATAGCTACATATTCTTGTCAAGCCAAAAATCCAGACAACTTCCCTGGTGTATGCCTGTTTAATGTTACAATGGGTTAGGGTCTTGGAAGATATCATGACATAGTTTGGCCATTTCTGATACTTTTGGGTCTTAGTGACAAATATCAAAACATGTTGCATTGTTATAATTTTCACTGCAACTTTAATCGGCCCTTACGGCATAGAAGTTCTTGTAGTACTTACCTCAGATGAGACACCTTAACTGCTTCTACTGTGGATTCTTCGGCTGCTTTGCCAAGCTGAATGGGAGTACTTTGACCTTAAATGCAACCAGATAAAAAGTCAATGAAGAACTGAAGACTTTTTCTAAAGTCTGCAGCAAAGACCATTTTGTTGTTGTAGCTGAACTAAAAAGCTTGTTGATAAAAAAGGAAGACAACTTTCAGATGAGATGATCATACCAGTTTTGATACTGACAAGCTGTAACTCATTTCTGCTGGAACTTCCTGATGACTGAGCCCAGGAGAAGAAACTGCGCAGGTTACTCCAGGTTATCCCCCTGTGACAAAACAGGTGAAAGGTTAAGAAAGATAAAACAACCAAACAGAAGAGTCAAAAATATTTCATTAATATTTACGTTGTGGTTAGGACATATAACTAATAATGATTCGTAATTGTTGTATTTATCATCATCATCATCATTATCATCATCATCATCATCATCATCAACAACATCATTATCATCAAGGTTGAAGGTTCAGGATTTGGAAAGACAAAATCTGCATCTAGCCTTACTTGACTGCACAAGTATGGATGGTGTATTCTCTGGTAAGCAATCCTGTTCCAAGGTTGAAAACTTGAATGCATCCTTGACTGTTACCTAGTAAGAAAATTAAACAAGGTAAGAGATGAAATTTCTTCATCACAATCCTTTTTTATTTTGAATTCTGAAATCATTAAAACTTTGTTTCTCTTTTCCATATACTGGTACTTGGTGTGAAAATGCTACTCCAGACATCAAACGTTTTTACAATCTGCCACTGGATGTTAAGTTTTTCTTTTCCCCGAAATGTGTGATTCTTAGACAAGTAATAAATGAGGATCATATAAAGAAGCAAAGGTTGTATACACTCTGAAGTAGGGACAAGGTGCAGATGGATTCCTATTCACTGCCATCATTGCAACATTATGCTGTTAGCAGTGAAAACTTCAATTTGCACATTACAGGTAAATCACTTGAGCATGACTGCAACTTTACTGACAGCTTACCGACAGCTATGAGTGGCTTGTAGGTAGACCAGTTTTTCGTTGTTAAGGGTGGACACATGACAGCACATGTTGGAGGAGATGACACTGTGCTTGACAGGCTGCTCATAATGAACTTGAAATGAGTTGTATTTGGAACTACTTTCCCAGAAGAAAGTGGTGGAGGGATCACATTTGAAAGAGTTAAATTGGGATTAATGCTGCAATCCAAAGCTCCAAGTTCAGCATCTAATGGCAGTGATGCTGTCATAGCTTCTTCTGACATCAGTAATGCCTCTGTGGTCTGGAGTCTTGTGGCTTTTAACTCCCAAACAATAATTCTACCATCGCTGATCAACAATGCAACCTTTCTTTCACTTACGGGACAACACATGAAACCAAACAATCTGCTTGATTTGCTGAGTCGCAAAGGATCTGACTGACACTTATTTTCGTAAATAATATCCACTGATGTGCTTGCATCACTGGTAGTTTCATCACTGGGTTCTACAAAATAAGGGTTCTTTGGTACACGTCTTCGCACTCGCATGATTACACTTCCATTTTCATGTAAGCACATAAGGACATCACGCTGCTGACAGGGAATGATGTGAAGAAAAGAAGGACTGTTTCGTTCCAAACTGAATGAACACACAGCTTGGTTGATCTCCATGTCTAAGATCATTACTTCTCTAGGAAACAAGGCGAGAAGGTGATGACAAGTAGATTGTAAGTATGCAAGCTGAAGGCAGTCACTGAAAGCAACATTTTCCTCTCCAGCCCTGAAACAGAAGAAAAATTATGTTATCTTGCTGGGGTGGGGTGATGATTTAAAGACTTACTTAAAGTGTAATGTAAATCTCTACGGTAAACTAAGCCATTATGGCTGTTACAGGTCCAATTTTATTTTGGGTTCAAATTTTTTGACCTTGGTTGATTCTCAGTGTCTTTTGTCTTCTAGGGCTAGGAGACAATGGAAATTGAGAATCAACCTAGGTGAAAAATTTCTAACCTGAAATCAAATTTGACCTGTATCATAGACATTTGCATGCTACAAATGTTATCATATGTGTAGTACGTACTACATGCCATTAAAATGAAAGCAGGACACTATAGCATGAGGGTTTTCCAAAATGACAGCACAAAGAATTTATATGCCCTTAAGAGATGATAGTATACTTGTATTGTGTGTACCTGTTTCTTGATTCACCTCCTGCCCAAATCCTGACTCTAGCCAGTGCAGATCTGGGAGTTGAAGGTTTGGATGAATATTTACTATCAGGTCCTGCAGTTGGGGACCCTGTGAAGCTGCTACTGGGTGAGGAGGCACCAGAACTTGTCAGGTAGAACTTACGGCCATTACTCTCTGGTGCTTTGTTGATGGAAAAGTCATTAATAAATAGGATCCAATCTTGGCACATCACTGAGGTCAAAACAGAAAATAATATTAATAACACTCAGTCTAGTGACACAGTCAACCCTGAACACAACAGAGACAGTCATCCAACTATCTGCATTGCAGAGGTGTCCTTAGAGGGTACGTGTATGAAGTTTGGTATCTTTGTGACCTGTGTAACAAACAGTGTGCATAAGAAGTAATCAACATCATTGCTACTTATAGTTAAGCCAGGTAAAACATACTTTTAAAGATTCTATAAATGAATTCTTATTTAAAAATTGTATCCATTAGTACCAGATTCTTGCAAATGAGCAGTGAATTCACATGCAATGCAGTTAAAATTTCAGATTTAAAATTGGTGCCTGTAGTGACAATGACTACTGGATTCAATTTTCACATAATCACTTCATTGATAGAATCTATGACAGTGTAACAAAATTAAAATTTAAAAAAACTAAAACGGAAATGAAATATAATTCACACAAACATTATGCACATATTTTTTTTTACAACAAATTACAGCAACTCATCATCAGAGAGACTCTATTTTCCAGAGTTACTTACAAGTGACATTAGATGAAGTGAAGGGATCAAAAGCAAAGCATAGTAAAGGTTCTTGGAAAGTCTTCTTCCACAGTTTAGTTCCAGTGTCAGCATTCCACAGAATCATTGATGATGGTGCATGGAGCACCACCAACAGATCGTGACAAGCATCCTGAGTTCCGAGCCACTCTAGATCCAGAACTGGCCTGTTTCCATCAGAAAACTCTGCTACTGAGCTACCTTGGGAGATGTCCCAAACAATCACATTGCCAGCTGCATCTCCAGAAGCCAAGCGAAGAACATATGGTGAATTTAGGTCATGGTGAAAGTTGTTACGGGCCCATTTTACCTAAAACAGCACATAAGAGACGTTGATATCATACATCCCTTATACCGGTCAATGAAAAAGTGGTTTCACTGAATAGCTAGTCATATAATAAGATTTAAAAATCACATATGACATTGCCTTACCAAAATCATAAAACTTATAACTTTTTCCCTTGTTACATATTAAAACTCAAACCAGTTAAAAATAATGTTTACTGAAAATTAATATTGAAAAAAAATTCAAGAAATAAGGTCCCAAGTATGCAAGCCTAGTTGAAAGAAGAATCTGGAAGTTTATAGTAAGTCACATGGACTTTTTCCAAAGATCCCTTTAGTTTGCAACTACATTCCAAACATACCAATGTGAAAGATAATAGTTACCTTTGTACAGGGTGCAGTGTGCAAGTTAAGTACTTGAATAACCTACAAAAACAAACAGTCCATAAAAATCTATAATTTAAACCACAATCAAATACATGAGCATTTTTTATTTAGTACCTGTACTGATTTGGGATCAAAAACAACCACAAAGTTTTGACACCCATAAGCAATGACTGACTGCCATCCCCTGAAAAAGACAAAAGATACTAGATAATGCCTTTACAATTTATTAGTTTCTACAAAGAAGAGACCATTACTTCTTCAAGCCACCCCAAGGTGTTTACTTTACATTGTAAATCTCAACCAACTAATTGGAGGAGGGAAGGGACTTTACTCAAAGGAGGCTGGTGTAGCTTAACTTAAATTACACGAGAGATCAGAAGAACGGAGGTAATGGTAAGTCAAGGAAATAATGGTAGATGGACATAAGAATTTCCTAGGGACAACTTTCTTCATCATTCCTCAAATTTATTTAAGGAAAAGGTCAGTTTTAGCAGCTAATAAAGCAGGGCCCAGTACTTTTCCATATGAAAAGGAGGGAGATCTGTTCAATAACAGGTCAGGCTGCTGGCTGGAAAGAACACATATTTCCCCATTCCCTAGAAATTTGGTTTGCTCTCCAAAACAATGTTTTCCATGAAATTCAGTTGTATTCAGGTGCCCAGTTCCATCCCCAGGTCTATAACCAATGACATTGTCTTAAAAGGCATTAACACATCAAACAAACTTGTGAACAGTTATGAGGCCCTCTTAGTGAGGGGCGTGTATGTATGTCCCTAGTCTGAGGTTGACGAGATTATAAACTCTCTTCGCTCAGAATTATCGTTGTTAACTAATGCATCGGTTTGATAATCAGTGAAACTGCCCCTCAGACAAGTGGCCAATAATGCCAACATTCGAGTGGTTCTCTGTCTGTTGTATTGTATCAGAACAATAGTGTGACTTCAATGAGAGCTCCCAAAGTTACTTTTAGGGTATCAGCATGAATACATCGATGGCAACAGAATCGAAAGGGTCACAGTTTATAAAGCTGCTTGGAGTTTATGTTAGCAATGATCTGAAGTGGACCCATCACTGACCCATCATGTAGACTCATCGTGTGTTATAGCATTGTTTGTATTTTTTGTTTAGATTTTTTCCAATGGGGTGGAGGCTTTTTTGACACTTTTGATTGACCTTTCGTTTCCCACCCTGGGGAATTTGATCAAAAAATTTTAAAATTTGTCAAATCCCCATCCCTTACCCGCACTCCCTCACACGGGGTTTACATCGATAGGTGCATAAACTCAGAGTCAAACTCAGAGTCATTTGGCGTTCTGCAAAATACCCCCTGCCGCCTGCAGTTCCCTTAAAATTGTTACATCTCAAAATAGCTCTTGATCTTGAAGAAATCAAGAGCACATAATACAAACAAAATAATATTCTTCCGTAAAATTACCAGCCTTACCAATCCCCCCACATTCGGCAATGAAAACTCACCAATCACAAGCCCCTCGATTTTGTGAATGAAGTGCTCCTGGCACAACACGCGGAGACAGCTTCATTGTAGTAATGGCAAGTAGAGTGTTTCTAATATGTCATTTGCCATCGAGTTTGTAGTTATTACTGTTTTCTTCCAAACAACAAGATCATGGGCAAGCAAAAGGAAACCAGCTAAAAGCTCAAATTCATTTCCGCCATCTTGGTTTCATTTCTTGAGCCGCTGGGACCGCTGGTCCTAGTCTATTTCACAGTTTTTCTAGGGGGGAGTGAAGATGGTAGTTCAAAAGTTCATATTTATTTTTCCTTAATGCATAACTAAAATCAAAAAGATGTTTTTATGAAAACAAAAACGGAACCATTACTGCTCTCGGACAAACAAATATTTTTCTTGCAAGTTAAAGTAGTATGATGAAAAAAAGTTTTCTTGTCTACCTTACCCTACCCCCTGTAAACAAAGCTGTCTAGAGAACGATGGCGCGAAGTCTGAAGCGAGATGCTGCTGACGGCTGCTGACCCTTTTGTCTTGTACTGGCACAAAATAGAGACTGATTGGGGACATTCTTGAAGAGGAAAAGTGTCAGTTTCAGAGGAAAAGTTTTTCATTTATACAAGTTCACTGAAAGTCAAGAATCTCTGCAAAGTAAAATGTTGACAAGAGGGTAAGTGCACGAGCGCCGTGCTAATAACCTTTTTTAAGAAAGCGTTTTGTTTCTGCGAAGTCCTCTTCTTTTCCATTGGCCCCCATGAAATCTTTTATTAAAAACTGATTTGGACGAATGAAACTAAGTGGTGCCTTGACGAGTATTTCTATTAAGGACATTAAGAGACATCTTAATACAATTTACTTCTCAAGGGACCAATTAGTAGCTGGTTGCTAACCTCTAAAGGTAATACTGCACTTTTATGCCATAAAACAAATTAGCACTTTCAATTAAGCTTAAGCTTAGAACTTGAGGATTAAATACATCATAGCGGTGACCAGCAAAAATGAAAGTCGGGCTTTGTTTTTGCCAAGGAAGGAATGACAATGTGTTTTAGATGCAAATTTTGTTTGACTTCAATGCACTAACATTACTATGACTTCGAAAAATATACTTCTGCTGCACAATTTGCAATGACAACTTATTTTTAAACACAATTGTTGGTATGGGAGCTACACTAAAGACTATTCATTTATAGTTAAACATTCTTCAAATCATTAATTTGCAGTTCTTTAATTCACTTGTCATGGAATTTTAATAATGTCAGGTAAGTTTTGTATGTTCTTTTTGCTTCATAACACATACTTTTTAACTGTTAAAAGGACTGTCGTAGCACTTAATAGTCAAATAGTTGTTAGTTTTGCAATTTGCGCTTCTTAGGGGTCGGGGACTATGAGAATGAACATTTAAGTTACCGAAATTGAGAGTATGAGAAGCTTTCAAACACCCCAATATTACAGTCTGCTTAATCTTAGTTCAATTTGTCCACCTTTGTTTTCTTTTGTATTTGCTTTGTTAATGAAATGTTTATTTCTTCATTCTTTTAAGCAGCTATTTTTTCCTCCTTGGTAAATTATAAGTATGACAGTAACTAAGACGGAGAGAAAAAAATATCATTATTGTCATCTCTCTCATTCACCACTGAACTAAACTTTCCTTTGATGAAAATTGTGCCATAAACTTGTAGTTCCTGAAAGACCTGCGCCCCCTATTGTTGGTAAGGTAACAGCTAGCAGTATTGAACTATACTGGGACCAAGCGGTAACCACTGAAGACGTGTCAGGGGGAAGACTTCGATATTGTATTCAGGAAGAAGAAGACGATACCAGGAAAGGATTTGGGAATGTCTACAAGTGAGTACATTTGTGCTGGGCAGTTAATTCAGTAGAATGACCAGTGATCCGGGAAAACTGAGTCCTCTTGTGAAATTTTACAAAAGAAGAAATATAACAAAGAATTTCAAACACCTTATGCCCCCTTCTATATAGCCAGAGTTATGGAGACTTGAGCCGCACTTCCCTAGACAAAGAACCTTGGATTTATATTTTTTTTGGTCTAGCTATTTATTCCCAAAATTTTGATGTTGATGCTACAGGTCAAATTTGATTTGAGATTGAAAATTTTCATCCTAGTTTGATTCTCAGTTTCCTTGTTTTCAAGGGCTAGGAGACATTAGAAATTGAGAATCAACCTAGGTTAAATCAAAATTAACCTGAAATAAAATTTGACCTGTAACATTGACACTTGATCATCCTAATGTGAAGTTGCTTTATATGAATTAATGTTTTTTTTTTCGTGACCCATGTTTTAGTGGCTTTGCCAAGAGCAATATTTTCAGAGGTTTGGAGCAAAATAAGACATATCGTTACCGTCTTCGTGTTAGTAATGACCATGGACATAGTCCCTGGAGTCAAGTTATCACTGTAACAACAACACGTAAGTAAACCTGGCCTGACTGATCCTCCATATTAACAGTCATCAAAGAACTGAGAAATAGTTTGTTAGGGCTATATGGGACTGAGATTTCCATGAAAATATGGGATCATGGTAACATAAACTCATACTTACACAGGCAGAAGCTACTTTAAATTTTAGCACTGACATTTCCAATTAGGGTTGATTAGCAAGAAAAATAAAATGGGGTATTAGTTTTTGCAATAATAACAGATAGGTGCAAAAACTAAGACCTCACTCACTGATTAGTGAGAAATAAAAGGTGCTAGGTTTGGGAACCTTAGGTGTAAGTTTTCATAACAAATTATCTCATGAAGCACCAAACAACTGCCGCGGTGTACTTGTATTGGAAGCAAACACTGGCTTTTATCCATTATTTTTGACAGGAATTCCTTTATCTGGTTATGATCTTCATCATGCTGTCTTAAACTGGGAAGTAGATAAGGTGGTAGCAATTCTTGAAGAAAGGTGTGTCACTGAATTAACATCTTGCACAGTCGATTCAGATGTTGGAGCTAAAGAATATGAAACCATTACAGGGGCCTTCATGGGGAGCATGATGATATTAGTGAAAATGCCTATAGGAATATTCCAACTTGCCCAGTTTGTCAAATGAAAGCAAATTTTCCCAGCTGACAGTGATTTTTTTTCCATTAATGGTGATCTTATCAAACAAAGACGGGAAGACACTGGTCTTGAATCAGTTTTAGAAATCAGAGCTGCAATGAAGGACATATGCAAGACAGCATCCAAGAAATTGTCAGCTTGGTTCAGGAAAATTTCCAGCCTAGATAGGTTGATAGAAAATCAAAAACAGTTCAGCACTTGTATGATTGTAGTAAAGAAAAACTGGTTGTAAACTATGAAACATGTATAAAATGACATTAAAAACTGTAACCCGATTTGAAAAACTAAATTGAGTAGGATTTTGGAAAATTTTGAGGTAAGAATATTTTCTGCAGTTCAGAAAAGCTAACACTGGATTTTGTTTGGGAGATTTGTTGACCCCATCAGGACGCTGGGAGATGCCCCATTAAAATCCTGTTTTTTTTAACCCATATTCAATTGTTATTTATTTATTTATTTATTTATTTATTTAAGTGGTGAGAACTTAGTTGACTCCCCGGACACTTACGGCATGTCTCCTTTGATGATTGCATCACAGAAAGGTTATACGGGGTTAGTATCAATTATTATTGTCCCTTTCTGCACTTCTGCAGTCATAGTCAAACTTAATTCCTCAAAGACAAATCTTTAAAACAAGCCAAGTATCATCTGTCAACTTTAGATTTAAAACATGGGTGTTGTTATGGTTCAAACCAGTTTAAGTTTTATTGCCTTTCATCTCAGAACATTAACATAATCTGATACGAAGCAAAACAAAATGTGATATTAAAGACAAGTACATTTCCTCTCACGATAGGAGTCCAAAAAAATGCATTCCGTGATGTTGCTCAAATATTTAGTAACCGTGGTTATTGTTTACCTGTTTAGTACAAAATGTAAACATTTGTTGTGTACCAGTTTGTGTAATGATGAGCAGGTGCCTCTCCAACTGTATTTCTTTGCTCATTTACCTCCTTTTCTCTCAACTTTGTGTCTTTTTGTCTCAAGCAATTAGTAACTACCAACTTTTATGTAGAATAAATATGTATATACTTGTAATGGAAATTCATATTTATTTACTGCTGTAGTTGTTTAATACTGTTGTATTTGATACCTATTTTTTACTTTCCAGTATTGTTTCAAGTTTGATTGCACATAAGGCAGATGTTAACTTCTCCAATACAAGTGGCAAAAACAGGTGACTTATTTACTAGCTCTGGAATTGTGAATGTACACCACTAGCTGCCCCTTGTCAGTTTTTTCTTGTCAGTTACCTGATTACTGGCCCACTTGAAATAGCAGTCTCTGGTAAATTTTCCAGCTATAAAGAGGATTTTCTTTTTTAGCTCTGCAGTATTTGTGATTTCTCTGCCATTCATTAATTTCACCGGGAGAAATGCCTCTAAAAGCTGGTTTTCTTTGGTGATGGAGTCGGAGTCGTAAGAGTGCTTATGAGTCCTTGTGAAAATAAAAAATTGGAGTCATAAGTGCAACAGAATTGGAGTCAGAAGAATCAGAGCGTTTCCATTTTCTTCTGACTCCTCTTATGACTCTGTTGTTTACGATCAAGTGAAAACCAGATTGTCAGATTTGCAAGCAGAAGTGGAGGGATAAACCAATCACAATACACGTTCCCACACTTTGCTTGTGACTCCAACGACCCAGTTTTCACTTAATTTAAACGACGGAGTCGTAAGTGGAATCAGAATGCTGTTTTCACTAGATCACAAAGTTCTCTGTCACTAGTAAAAACCAGCCTTAATTTTTCATGGTTATTTTAGCATGATGTTGGCCTGCTTTGGTGGTCATTTAAAGGTAGCTCTTCAGCTTTATGATCAAGGAGCATCACTAGATACAAGAGATAATGGTGGATCCTGCTGCCTTCACTGGGCAGTTGATGGTGGTAAACCTGGCTGCATACAATGGCTGTTGGATAAAGAAATTGAGGTGGGAAAAAAACTTTTAAGTGCTTAGGTGGCTGAGGGGTGTGGTTCAGATAAGGACACAGTTTAGAAAAGAAATGTGGGAAACTTAAAGATAACAAAATATTGAATAGGTTAAAGAATTTGCTTACACCGTCCTTTTAAATGACAAAACTAGGTGTTGAAATGGATTTGGTATTTGCTCAGTAGAAATAGCAGTGCTAATTATTAAAGCAATTATTGAAGCTTGGATAATTTTGTCACCAGGTTGATGTTGAAGATGAGTGTGGTTGTTCACCATTAATGAGACTTGGTATGTAAAGAAAAATATTGATCCAATTAATTTTAATTTTGTATTTTAAAATTAGGGTACAGTAAACATGCTGTGTGGTTCAGCTAATGTGTTTTCATCGCACATAATTTGCACGAAAGGAAACTAAAGTCTGGTAGAGAAAGAGAAGAAAGTATTAGATGTTCAGTTACCTCTTGCCCACATAGATCTAGGCTAGTAAAATGAAGCAGCATCTTGCCTTTCATTTATGCTCAAGACTGTACTCTTTCTGTAGATGAAGAATAGTACAGTGCAAGAGTAAGGTGCCACTAGTAGCCGCTAGGAACTGCTAGAGCTCAGCCTTGATGCTGCCTTTCTTTATTTTTTTTTGCCTTTTAAAATTTTAGCATCAATAAATGGCAATGTTGAGGTGGCCAAGATCTTGATTGAAAATGGAGCCAATGTGAACAAAGTGGACAAACTCAAGAAAACTTCATTGATGGTAAAATAATAAGGACAAATATATTTTAGTCCTTTCCTTTCTTCTAGGTGCTGGTGTGCCAGACAAAATTTTAATTGGTAGCCCCATACGTTTTTTCAAGGAACTTGCCCCCTTATTTTATTGTGACTGTCATATTTTTGCCTCCTGAGCAGATATACATTTTTCGGATTTTTAAATATCATTGTCACTGGCTTGAAGTTTACCTTTTCTATTAATATCATTGAAACCATCTTAATTGCATTGTGCCATGAGAGTCTGGTCTCTGACAAAAAGATTAAGATAAAGAAAATATTAACATTTGTTACAGTTTGTGTTTCATGTCCTGTTTTTAGTCTGCTGCCCTAAATGGTGGTCTGGAACTGGTGAAACTTCTTGTTGAAAATGGAGCAAACATAAATGCTGAAAACGAGGTTGGAGGTCACTCTCTGTTGTACATCTGTATGTTCTTGACAACAGCCAATTGTATTGTCTACTGTAGCTCTCAAACGTTCATCTTTAGGGTCCCCTTCGTCTTCGGACTCCCTTTACTCTTTGGCGGAAGTCTTGCACTCCTTTATGGGTCACACATGAGTGACTGCTACATGGATAACCACACACTTGTTGCTCATATTCAAACTTTTGTACCCCAGAAACAAAACACACACACACCCATATACACACAAAGGTTCTTTGTTGTTATTGTTCAGCTGGCCCCGGTCGATAACTTTATGCACCCAATAAATCACTATCCAGTGGATAACAGTTAGGGAAACCAACTGCGTTATCGAATGAATAGGTGAATAGGCAGCGTTATCCACCTTTCGAACAACTGGGCCTTGATGAGTTGCACATACTTATATATTTTGTTTTGCTTTAAGTATGGAAAGACAGCTCTTGATTTTGCTGAGTCCTTTGGAAGAAAGGTAAGTAAAAAAATGAGAAGTGAGTTGATGAAGTTGTGATTAAATTACAGCAGGGAATTTAAGTTACAGAACGGAGATGACAGCAAAAACTACTGTGAAATTGATTTTGCGTTGTTTTAAACTTCACTGCCATCATTCCAACCCACTTGACTGGTCAAGTGTAACCGAAGTCTTCAGAATTTGAATTATTAAGACGGTCTCCAAGTTCAGAAAGAGAAAGAAAAATTGTGCGTCGTGTGTTTACGGCCTCCGTTAAAACGTCGCATCAGAAAGTGAGCAGTGGTCAGTGGCAAGGAAATGAACCAATAAAAGTGTGACACACGTGCTAGAACGTATTCACGCACGTGCCAGCAGCTACCAATACAATATTATGCCGCGTGACGTCATGTGAATAATTTGAGGTTTGTGTTGTTTTAGTTATAATTCATATGACGTCACGGCGGCATATTTGGTATCTTGAAAAACCACGCAATCTTAGACAATGCGAAAACGGTTATAGACCGTCAGTCATATGTTGTCTTTTCATATATATTTTGAATTCCAACTTTTTTCTTAGGAGATTGTTTCCTACTTGAAGTCATTGATGATGACAAAAAACTCTACAGAAGTTGAAACTCAAGTGTCGCTTTCAGACATAGTGGACTCCAGTGAATAAACGACAACATGATATGAAGGAAATTCAGTTGAATGTTTCTTTGTCCTTTTACTGGTGCCTGCCCGATCTTCTTTTGCATAAAATAGTAAGTTCGTAATGTCCCACCAAATACAATGAAGGATAAGTGGCCATTCCGGCGTGAACGTTCCTACTAAGTTCCCTACTTTGCGTCGATGTCTTCAGCTGTATCTGATGTTCTTTAAAGAATGTTTTAACGACGATGAATTTTAAATGCTTTTCTCTTAAGTTGAATCGGTATTTAATAATTCTTACGTTGTATTTTAAGTTGCAAATCACGTGAATAGGATTTTTACACACGGGGCTTGGATGAAAAAAGCTGCTGTCAATAAAATTAACTAAGATTGCTCTTGGTTAAGCGACCTTTTCTCTCCTAGTGTGTTTTATAAATTAAAATTAAAGTAGTTTACAATAACCCGAAAAAAAAATTCTCGCTTGTACATTGGTGGACAGCTATTTTTTATGAGAGTACACACTATACACTAAAGTTAAATCACACCTTTGAAAATTCCTTCAAAATAAACTTTGAATAACATCGTAACGTTCCGGAAAAAGCCCCCCCAAACTCGAAACGCAAAAATCATCCTCCAAAGATGAAGCCTTCCAATATAAGCCCCCCAGAGAGCCTATATTTGGGAACTTCCCTTTTTTTCACTATGAGGTCATTCTTGCTTTCTTTTTAAAATTATTTTAGTCTGTCGACACACGTTTACTCGTACCCCACTTTTCCGCGATATTGGTCAAAATCACCTACGAATTTTATTTTTATACGCGGCCGTTTGAACATCTGTATAGAAAAGTGGAGAGGCTAATTTTAATTAATTCCAGTGCAGCGTCAATAACAAGAAAACAAAATCTTAAGGCTTTTTTTTTGGTTGTTGTGGCAAAATGCCTGATTGCACACCGCTGCATGAACAAGCCTTCATTCTTTTTATAACATGATGAACCCGGCACCGTGATGGTGAACGAGTGTCAAAGTTTTGCTGTCGTTGTGTACGGTCTTTCATTCTCAATTAAGTTTATTTCATTCTTTTAAAGCTTACATGTTAGGAGGGATTCCGCCGTCGCAATTTGTAGTGGCCCAATATTTTACTTTACACCTTTGTAACTGCCCACCAAGTTTGGCTTTTATGTCGCCGGTAAAGACTTGGGAAAGCCGACTGCATCTATAGTGTTTGACGATTTTTAAACCCTAACTTTCAGCCGTAAGTAAGCTCATATCGAAATGTTTGAAAAAAAAAATATGCTGGTTCAAAAATCTTGGGACCACATGTTTCAATCTACTGATGAGCTGACGTGGTGGAAGTTTGAGTTTGCGGATGAGTGATTTTTTTGTATTTCAGGGACTGGGAACTATTTTCTATTGTTCCAATCTAGTTTTCTCACGGGGAATAAATTTATGCGATTCTAAGGGCCTGTTTACATGGAGTAGGGGACCCCGGTCTAGTGGGGTTGGTTTCGTTTGTTTCCACGCTCTGGGGGACACAAAACAAAAGAAACTTACCCCACTCCATGTAAACAGGGTCTTAGCAATTGTAAAATGTGTTTATGTGACTGATATACAGGTTCAATAAAATTCCGACAATAAATACCTTGACAGTTTTCATGTTATAACAATGGTCAGAGACGTCCATTTTAGCGATTATATTTGGCGGCTTTTTGAAAGAAACGGCGCATTCTTCGCAAAAGTAGTACCCGAAAAAATAAAGTTCAGGAAGCAGTCCCCCACAGTGCGCTATTACATAATCAAACATTGAGTTAGCGAGGTGGATTTTAACTGAACCTTTGTTCGGAAGCTAAAGAGGTAGAGAAACTACACACATTTTACATTAACTAAGCACGAAATTGGCCCGCACGCGGGTGAATGAAAGTTTCAAACCATATCCGATCTAACTTTGCCGTCTCAGTCTCCTCGGTGATTCCACCTCTTTCATGAAAAGACACGACACTTATCCCAGTCAATCATATGGACAGCACGCTGACTCTCTCTCTCTCCGCGGAAAACTTTAACTTCATTTTTTTGTACTTCCTTTATTTCTTAGATGAAGCTTTTGTTTCCGTAATCTTAGATCCACAATTTGAGACAGGCTGACATGAATCCACGGTGTTACTGAAAATACAATCCGTCATTTGAGAAATTGAAACTCAAATACCATGTTGAAAACATTAGAACGTTTAGAACGAGTCCCAACTAAAAAATTCCACAGGTCGTTCAAATTCCTAATTTGAAACTTGATAAAAACGAAAATTGGAATATGAAATATATAGAATATTTAAGCTTACAGTAACCAGCGAGCTATAGGGCATCAAACATGTCAAAAGCTTATCCAGGGGTTTGATATGGAACAAATGTAAAACAGGGAAAAGAGCCGAGTTACGTAGGAAATTTGATGTTTTTCTTTGCCAGAGCTCGGCAGCAACTATAGCGGACAAAGAAACACAAGAATACCATAAAAAGGAGGGGGAGGGGGTTATGGGTGTTTTCTTTCAGAGGACAAGAGATCATATGCTCTAATGGTTAGGATTGTGATTGGAAACTTTTCACGCGCTATTTTGTCGGAAGAAAATATATAACCAGGACAAGTTTTTTTGTACTAGCTTTATACTGGGTACGTCTTAAATATGCCTTTACATAGAGCCCTGTTTATAGGGCTAGGGAAATTCCTGGAATCTGTTTTTCTCATCCTCTCCCCTTCACTTCCTTGATTGGAAGAAATGTTTACGATTTCCCCATTTCGTGGTTTGATGACGTTGGCACATTGCCTTTCGTATTAAACTCTCTTTTTTTTCAGTAAGAACTTTCTCGTCAGAACTTTGAGGTTGAGTAGGGGAAAAATTTGAGAAAAAATTTATCAAAAGAAAGCAGTAAATTTTCACCAAAACATCTCGCCGCCAACGAAATCGCCACCAAGATGAGAACTTACCTTGTTTTAAAGAGTCCCGTTTGTATACAGTGTATGCTGTAGTGAATTTTTTATCTCAGGTGATTTTTGTTTTTCTTTTGTTTGTATGTTATCAAGAAAAAGAAAAATGAAAATTAACAGAGATAAAAAAATTAACTACAACATATACAAAACAAATGAAAAGAACTCTTATGAAGATGAATTTTCTCTTAACCATTACTTTGTCATATTTTCTAAGAAATGAGTGGTGGTTGTCAGAGTATTATTAAAGGCATGAGAAATTCGATGAAGGATCGTGAACAATTAGGATCGAAGATAAGACGACAAAGTAAGACTCAGGTAAATAACCCAAGGTAATTAAATTGTGTCAATCATTTCAAAGTTGTTTGGTGGTGGAAAATCAACTTCTTGGTGGTGAGATTACCGTACTACAAAATAGAAAAAATAATATTTAACGATTATTAATCAGGAATTATTCCGATGGAAGAGGGTGTTATGGCCGAGGTGTGTAACACTCCCCCATATCTGCATTATTCTTCATATTCCACTAAATAAATGTCTTGTTATTCATTTGAAATATTTCCATGTTCTTCATTTCTTGAAACTCCACAGCTTCCCATTACGTATTCTTGAAATCATTATTATTTCTTCTTTGCGTGGCTGTGAACCCTTTGGCTTCCACTGAAACAAATTAAATGAGCCGTGCACGTGCTACGCCGCCGTCTCGCATGAAGTCAATCATTGACAACTTGCAATGTACAATCACTGACGTCAGAGTACTGGCGTCAATGTTGGTATAATCCAACTGTTATGAAGGGGTGTGATCAGAGACAAAACAAAACTATTTTGAATAAATGATAAATGCAAATAAATTGGAAAATAATGTGTTCAAAAAAAAAAAACGACGCGCGAACGTGCGTCAGTCAGTTTAGGAAGTCTTTCAGCCTCAGTGCAAAAGCGTACGATCACTCATTCGACGCGACCAGTTATGAAATCGCATACATTTAATGGATGGTTACTGCATTTAGAGCCATCTTTAGACATTTGCATGAGCAACGATTATTTTTAGTCTGTCCCCTTAAAATTTTAAAGAGTGCATCAACTTTTTCCTCTTTCGCTTCGCTGAATAGGAACCGAAAAAACGTCGTGATGTTCGCTCGTCCTAAAGACAATACTAAAATCTGATTGGCTCTACCCGAGCTTTCTGACATTTGATTGGTCAGGAAGCGAGTCACATGGCTTCTGAGTAAGCAGAATTGTGAATCCAATATGGCGGGTATTCACTGAACACGCATGATTACGAAACAAGCGAATTTTGGTCTAGTTTGAGGGTATCACAAGTATTTCAAAGCTGGAGTCGATAACTTTCCCCCTTGCTGCTATGGATGAATCAGAATATGAAAGCCTTCCAACAGAAAGAGTGACCGTTCATCTTGCTGCGGGCGCGCTGGCAGGCGTAATGGAGCACTGTGTGATGTACCCTGTTGACTGCGTGAAGGTACGATCAAACGGAATTTATGAACTTGTGGTCCTTAATTAACGCAACTGTTACATAATCATAGCCTAACAGAGGTTTTGCTTGTGAATCGAACTCGTCCATCTTCTCGTTTGTGTTTCCTTTAGTAAGCTCTTCCTTGCGCGTGTCACGTATTCTGTGATGTGGTTGTTGTCTTTAGTGTGTAAGCCGTTTTGTGAGTTTTTACCTCCAGTTTGTACTCTTATCGTCGAATTAGAGTGTTCAAATTCTTGCACGCTTTGTTCAATCCACCTAGTTTGCTTCTAATAGGACTACAATGTCTGTGTATTGTCAGGTAAACTACAGTGTATATGTAGGTATCCTCTTGGCTCTTATCCACTGATCAGTTAAGCTTCTAAACTCACGATATTTGTTTTGTAGGCATATCAGTGAAAAATAAAATGTAACCAACGCTAAGAAAGACAGAATTTTTTTTTCTACATTAACAGAGCATCTTCGCTTAGATCTATGAACAAATACAGATTATGCTTAATCGAATACAGTTTCTTAGAAACTTGAGTTAGTAGGGAGTAGTATAATAATATTGCATCATCGACATGCCCGGGTTCATATTTCGCTGTGTTACAAGTGCTTAATACAATATATATTCTTTTCAATTTGCATTGACCGTGACACTGCAGTATTATGGTCTTATTTTCATTGTTTTATCTTAAATATCAATGAATAATTTGTTTGTTGTTTGTTGTGACCGTGCAGTTGAGCTGAGTTATTTATAGATACCATGTATCATCTGGGTTGTTTACACCAACATTTTTTGTTAAGGCAGTACACCTGTTTTATCTCTTAACTTACGACAAATTCCATCTCTTCTCTTGAGAAACAAATTTCTGGCCTTTTTTTTCGTTTGTATGTTGATATTTCGCCGGTAAATTTTGTCAGATTTTTAAATGTTAAGTCTTAAATGATTTTCATTAGATATCTCCAAAGTCATGGCCAAAGTACCAAAGCCTATCTACCTATGTTTCTTGAATATTTTTAACCTAGACTGGCAGTGCTTATTTGAAGCTGGTCACTAATTTCAGCTTTAGTGTATTTACTTTACCATTTTGTGTCACCATCCCTGTTAGAGGATGCAAACTGCATTGTGTGTTGAACCAGGATTAGATCTTAACATGTGACACAGTTCGTAAGAGTATGGTAACAACTTCCCCTGACACTTAATAACATACCGTATTTTATCAGCTATAAGCCGAGCCCGGCTATAAGCCGAGACCCTAAACTTTTAACTCTTAAACTTAATACGATTGTCTTCAAACATAAACACAAAACATTCAGCTATAAGCTGAGACCCAGTTCTTAAAATGTATAAGAGCTCATGAAAAATTTTAATCACATTTAGCTTTTAAAATCTGTTAAAATGAAATGAAAGAATGGGTTAAGTATGCAACGGCACGGGCAATTCGCTTGAAAAGCAAGGTGTCATGAATATTTAACGAAAGCTAGGCTTACCTCTCGGGAAACAACTGTGTCAATATTGTTACCTATTCAATACAATGGCTAAGAATAACAACAAATCACAGTTAAGCTGAATTTAATGTGATCCGATCAAATGAATAAAATTGAATTCACGGCTTGATCATATGAACATTCCGAGTTCAGAGACCTGTCTTTAACAATCCTGTGTCGATAGTCGTTCATTGTCAATCCGTTATCATGCCAAAAGCCCGTCGTACATCATACAATCTAGCGTTCAAACTTAAAATAGTCGCCGAAGCAGAAGCCGTCGAGAACAACTCTGAGATCGCGAGGGAATACGGCATCAGTGAGTCAATGGTTCGTCGCTGGAGAACAGACCAAGAAAACCTCTTCAACGGCGAAATAAAACTGTCCGCAACACGTAAAACGATGGGCTGTTTTACACCAAAGTATCCCGAGATGGATCAAAGACTGCTGGAATGGTTTTCCGAGCAGAGAAGGCAAGGTGAGAATCATGTGACAAGTTTGTTTACACATCCTCGGGAATAGAACATTCTCATTGGTCAGTTTTTGATAGTTGTCAAAACATTAGTATCATTGCTTATCTGTTCTATCTTTCCTTCGTTTTAGGAATTGCTGTCGGTGGACTGATGTTGCGTTTGAAGGCGAAAGAATTTTTTTCCAATCTCCAATGCGCTTGACGGCACTGAGGATGACGCCATCTATGAGGAGGAGCAAGACAATGACGCCAAAGAAGATGAAATGGATGAAGAATTTGATAGGGAAAGCGAAGATAAGCCATAAGCTGATATCCTCGAACGTGCAGTTCACAACAGAAAACAAACGGCTCCTTTAGGAGCCACCACATATTAAAAGTTAATGACCAGTAACTCTTGCTTTTTTGTCCATGTGTTTTGCTCGGCTTGTATGCGAATATATGCGTATTTATCTTAGTTTTATTAAGTCCATAATTTTTGTTCAAGTTAAACTCTCGGCTATAAGCCGAAACCCCCTCTACAAGTCAGATTTTAATTCAAGTTAGCTAAACATGTGTAAAAATTGCTTGGCTTATAGCTGATAAAATACGGTAGTCATCCTGACACTAGTAATATAACAGAATCTGGCTGTAATTTTATGGGTGTTTTGTTTAAGCCATGACAATATGAAAAGCTTTTGACACTAGTCTTGTATCAACGTTGTTAATTTGTTTTCTTTGTAATGGATGGTGTTCAACCTTGCACTTTATGGTTTCCCAGTTTTTAATATGTAACTAGCAGTAACCAATGGCTAGGAAGTGCGGGCGAACATGTACGTATACCTTAAAGGTACGATTGATGTTGAGAACCGCTGTCATAATAGACCATATTTGTCTTCCCCAATGGGCCTGGGACGAGTAGGCCCTTGAGCTTGAATGCGATGCTAATGCAGGGAACCTCCTTCCAAGAGGCTCCTGGCGAGAAGTTCCCCACATTAGACTTGCACTCTTGGCGAGAAGTTTCCCACGTTAGCCTTGCATTAATGCCCAAGGGCCTACTCATATGCATCCCAGGACTATCGAGGATAATATTGTGTACTGTTTACGTAAATAAGAAAGTCCCTATTAATAGTTCCAGTAGCAAACAGAAGGAATCATGGCAGATCATGAATATGGAAACCGATAACAACACAGTAAACAAGACTGTTGTTGAATTCAACTGCTTTAATCATAGTTACATAGATACAGATAGCCTTGCGAACGATTAGGAACGACTGAGGAGAGACAGCTAGCTGTATTCCCACGCAAAGATAATGCCTGACAACGCTCATGTGAAATTAACACTCATAACAGCACAAACTCAAGGCATGAACTCTTATTATTCATCAATCAGTGTTTGGTGACCAAAATTATTGAGATGCAACAGTGAATCATGAGAAAGAATAGGTCTGCAGGCTTGCTTCTGGCTCACCTGTAAATATTAATTATTTTGTTGTTTTACTTCATAGACAAGAATGCAGAGTTTGCGTCCTCATCCAAATGCAATATACAGAAATATGCATCATGCATTCAAAAGTATGGTAACAAGAGAAGGTCTTTTAACTCCTTTCAGAGGAATTAATGTGGTAGCACTAGGAGCAGGACCAGCACATGCATTGTACTTTAGCACATATGAGGCAACTAAGAAGTTTATTAATGGCAATCAAACAACGTATAACCCACTTTCACATGGTAGGTGCTCTGTTTAAATCTTCTTGGATATACATGTCTATTAGTTAATAGATTTAGGATGGTACTTCTCGTGGAAAATGATTGGAAAGTAATTTTTAGCACACCAAGATGACTGTAGCGTCTTTGACCCAAATTCAACCATAGCTCTAAAAATTTTAAAACTTATACAACCGGCTTACTGTCATCATTTTTTAAGGGTTAGTGGTCCACAAGATTGTGAAGAAAATGGGGTAGAAAAGTCTTACAAAATGGAACAAGTATTTTCTGACGACAATGTGAGGGTTAAGGACAAAACAAAATTACAGTTCATCCGCTTTGATAATCCAGAAATGTCAAAATATTGTCTTAACTTATCGTCATTATTAAAATATGACAACGACAATTTTTTTTCTGGTCTTTTGTTTTCTGCTCTGAAACTTGCATTTTTGAAATCTTTTATCTGTAAGCTACTTCTATTATTATCTTGTGTTATAATAATTTATGTGTATGTCAGGGGACAGTCCTTAAGCAGACAAAGAAGTAACAGAAATTTTCTGACTGGTTTTAATATTACCCCCTGATTGTTTTTGAACAGCACAGAATAAAACAATTCTTTTTTAACAGTAGATCAATCAGTAGTTTTTAGTTTCCCCGAATTTTGAGGTAATAACCTTACATGCAGTTACAATTTTTTTCTGATTTTATCACCAATATCGTCCTTGATGAACAAAGATATTAGGGTCATTTATACGAGGAAAAAATTAATAAGACGCGTCTTACATAAGACGCGTCTTAAATAAGACGCGAACTTTCCGTATAAACGGCACATTTTGTCTAAAATAAGACGCGGCTTAGCTAAGACGCGTCTTATTAGATAAGACATGCTCGTATAAATGGTACAGTTCGCGTCTTATTTAAGACGCGTCTTATGTAAGACGCGTCTTGTTTTTCCTCGTATAAATGGCCCTATTGTTCATTCTGTCCAAGTCCTTATCCCAAGAAATTATGTACACATTATCAGTCTAGGTTAGGCTTTTGTTGGCCTGCTGTGTAAAAAATCACAATGAAAAACACTTTTCAAAGCTGACGTTATTAATTTTATGATAATTATTGTTTTATGCTATGACATGTGTGTTTGACTAACACCCTTAACATGCAGGGCAATTGGTGGCATTCAGCTGGAATTAGGTATTGTTAAGTAGAACAGTCACGCTTTTATTTTATAGTTGCAGCTTACAAGATCTCCTTTGAGGAGAAATTCCTGTCATGGTTTGATTAGTTGATAAGATTTGAAGTGAATCTTTCAGTACTTGTAATCCACTTATTATTTATGACATATTTATGCTCATGTTCTCTTTTCCATCAATATAACTGTAGTTTTGCTCATAAAGGATCAAGTCATACAGTGTAGGATTTCTCTTTGATGTGCCTCTTTAATGTGGCCTGTTCCACAATGACCATTTTGGTGGCCTTTTTGCAAGTTTAAGTTTAATTTAGTCTCTTCAGTAATGGCTAAATTCAGTAACATCAACTCTCACTGTGAAGGTTATTTAGAGTGAAATTTCATTCGACCTGCAAGTCACTGCAATAAAAAGGTTATTCAAATTTAGGGCACATGAAAAGGCAAGCATTTATATTCTACCATAAAGAAACTGATAAAAAGTGTGAAGAAGGGAAGGAAAAGGAAATCGAACTCAAGTTTTATCTTTGATTTGATCCCAATTTTAAACAAATGAAGGTGAACTTGAAAAAGGTGGGGCACACTTTTTGATGTTTACAACGTACCATCCATTTTAATGTTCTCTAATATTACTCATCCATGTCTGTTTTTTATTTTCAATGTTTTTGATAATCCTAATAGTGATCAAAGTGAAGTTTTCTCTTGTTACTTTTTTCAAATAATCATCAATTTATATTGAAGTATAGTTGCTTGTGTCACCCAACTGTTAGTTTTTGTTTTGGTAACTTGGCTCAGAGGGTTGACAATTGTTGAGGATCTCAAACAGACTGGTCCTAAGGCTGATTCTATTTTCCTTCTGTAGGTCTTGCCGGGGTATGTGCAACAGTTTTCCATGATGGTGCTATGAATCCCATAGAAGGTGTATTGTCTCTTTATTTTTTTCCATTTAAAAACGACCAGGAGTGTATTATCAGGTTAAAAACCTCAAAGCAAAGGCGAGAGTTTTTCCACCTGATAATGTACAACTGCAAGTTTTTTGAACAGCTTCAAAATCTCTGATGTAGATCAACTTACTTATTCTTGTACTTATACTTTAGGTTTGGTTTTATTTTGGTCTAAAAAAGTAGACGTAAAGTTTAGCCTTGTCTTTATCAGATGTAAAGACACTCATATAAAACATTAATTTATTTCTTTTGTTTTTTGTTCGTGAATTATTAATGATTTTTTGAATAATAATATCATTTCATGGGGCATTTCCTCATCATAGAGGCATACTATGTGAACCTAGTACTTTTGTTATTCTTTCTAGTTGGATTAAGCCTTGTGCAATTTTCAAGGACTTTAAAAGTTATGAATTTGTTTTAGATGATACAATACAATGTTAAAGTTTTGGAATGTTAAAAGTTATTGAGAAAATTTATTTGCTTTATGAAGTTTACTGACTTAATGGAAGGGATCTATAGCATAAGTATAGTAATAATTAGAAAAAATTATGGAAATTCTGAGAGAAAGATAAATTTCCTCACCGAAAAGTTGATTGTACTGACATTGCTTCTTGTCTTCATTTCATGTTGCTCAACAAATCAGTGGTCAAGCAGAGGATGCAAGTTTATGGAAGCCCTTATCGTAGCGTGCTTCACTGTGTTAGGACTGTTGTACGAGATGAAGGAGTAAGAGCCTTCTATCGCAGTTACACAACACAGCTCTCCATGAACATTCCCTTCCAGACTTTACATTTCACAGTGTATGAGTTTACACGAGAGACTATGAACCCAACTCGTAGATACGATCCAAAGACTCATGTAGTTGCTGGTGCAACAGCTGGTGCTGTGGCTGCGGCACTGACAACACCATTGGATGTAGCAAAGACATTACTGAATACACAGGAAAGAGGAGCAGTTGCCATAGTCGGCAAACCTGAAGGACATGCTGTTTATGTGAGTGGAATGTTAACAGCATTCCGCTCTATATACAGATTACGTGGTTTCTCTGGTTATTTCCAAGGACTTAGGGCCAGAGTTCTCTACCAGATGCCATCTTGTGCCATTTGCTGGTCAGTTTATGAATTCTTCAAACATTTCTTGCACTTTACAGAGACTGAAGCTGAGTATGAACTGTCACCAGTATGAACAGTTCCCACGGGAAGAATTTCAAACTCTTGTGAAATCAGTTGTAAGGTCAGTAATACAAATCCAGATCATCTGCCATCACAGAGTACCTGGCAATTGTGCTGAGTGTTACAAGTTGGTCTTTCAAGGAATGTAGTAGTGGATAACATGTAGACAAAGAGTGAATTCTCGGCTGCAGAGGTTTTGTCAGAATTCAAGTCTTTTTATGCATTAGTCCCTGTAGAACAGAGACATGAGGTTGTCATTGCCCATATTCCAGTGATGGCTGTTATAAATTAGATGAAAAACCTAATGGAGGATGGTGAAAGACAAGAAAACCAGCTATTGAGCTACAGTACTCTTCCTTGTGGTAAAACAACATTGAAATTTGAAGTTGGTTCAAAAAGGGTTTTGGCTGCAAAGAATTCATACCTGTTCCTAATATCCTGCTGTTGATGTGTTGTAATGATGAAATCAAAAGACTAAGAAAGTTATTTTGACTGCAGTGGTTTGCTGCAAGTTCCTGATTTCCTGTCCTTGATGTGTTGTGTATTGTTGTAAGTCAAGACTAAAAAAGGAATTTCGGCTGCAGAGTCATGCCAGTTCCTTAATTTTCCTGTCGTTTATGTGTTGTTACGTTTCAAGTCAAAAGATTACAGAAGGAATTTCGGCTGCAGACATTTCATGCCAGTTCCTGATTTCTTATTGTTGATGTGGTGTAATGTTTAACATTTCTAGCTGTATGTCATTGATGTCAAACTGTAATAGATTTTAATGCCATTTTTTTTAGGCAGTAACTATGCCTGCATTTTGAGAGAAATAACATTTCGTTACGTAATTTTGTTTACCATGACAAAACAAAAATTATGGTTAGAAGCAATGATGATTGACAATCTGAGAGCGGCTGTTACTATTTAAACACAGTTCCCATTGCAGAGATGAAGATAGGACTTTTCTGCGGGGTTTCTGTCAAATTTTCCACTTAAACTGGTATGAGATAGCAAAAAGAGACTGGTTTGTTAGAAAATAGACATAATATCCTTTCCAGAAGCTCCGCGGCAGAGGGTTTTGCCAGTTTCCTAAAAAAATAGTATAAAAATAATTTTGTAGAAAATAAAATGATCAACAATATTGCTAAAAGTGTTTCCTCAGTTTGAGTGGTATTACCTTAAGCTGCACCATCTCCCTTCCCTCTAATGACTTCCCGCATGACTCCCTTTCTTGTTAACTTCATTTAGCCAACTCCACACAAATAATGAACAGGCCTATTTCCATTGTGGTTATAGAAGCCCTATAAAATACTCTCACTTCCAACGCACTTTGCTTTGAAGCAGAAGCTTGGGGCATTCGCAACTCAGAAATAACCTATTTTAGAACCAGCACGGCTCAAGTCGTCCTTGCTTTTATGTACACACCGTAAGCCACTCCCGCTTTTAAAATTATGTAAACAATGACTAGAGCTCAAACAAAAACATTTCTCAAAATCCATTTCCAATTCGTATATTGCTCTTTCTTTCTGAATCATTTGGAACTGAAACGACAAATGCGTTTATACACTCCCGTAGTTTCCTCGAAAATCTATAACCGTTTGCAGACCATAACGGCGCAAAAACCACACCCTTTGGGGCGGCACATACCTATATGCCTTATATAAGGGAGTGCCCCCCGGGGTTTATTGTGTGATTTTAGGAGAAAAGTAACCATAAATCCAGGGGAGCTCATTCCATCGCATGTTCGTTCAATTTGAACGTCTCGGTGGCCTCAAAAGTATTAGGAGTTGCCAGCTCTTGAGAGTACCAGGCAAAGGCGGGAGCAAGGTATCTGTATCTCTGATCCGCTACATTGAGAAACGAAGCCTCGAAATCATTTCCCAGAAATGCAGTCTGCGGAGCTGTCATCTTCGATTGTTAAAAATTGACAACTTTTTCCAAAAGAGAGCATGCTGTTTTGTAGTTGACTGCTTTAACCCTTCATTAATTAAAAGCCTAACAACGCATATTTGCGTAAAAAAACTCGCCCCCGCTGTACATGCATGCGTTAACTATTTGTACTTAGCTTTAGTCCAACCTTTTGGTCATTTCAGTTCATAGCACTAAATGGTTAATTTTGCAATTATTAGAGCAAAGAAACCAACAGTAACTCCCAATTTCCACTATATATCGTCGTTCGTTGGGCAGCAAAGTCCAAAAAGCTATTTTTTTTTTTGGCCAAATATCAACACCAAAAACTACACCTCTTCGTCGTCTATTTTTTCGGCAAAAAAATGACTTAAAGTTACAGCAATTCTCAAGGCCATACACCATGGTATCTAGTTGGAATTTCTTCTCTCTCTCATACCATGAGCGTAGAGCCACTTAGAGGTACCAGCGAAATATTAGGGCCATTTATACGAGGAAAAATAAGACGCGTCTTACATAAGACGCGAACTGTACCATTTATACGAGCATGTCTTATCTAATAAGACGCGTCTTAGCTAAGCCGCGTCTTATTTTAGACGAAATGTGCCGTTTATACGGAAAGTTCGCGCCTTATTTAAGACGCGTCTTATGTAAGACGCGTCTTATTTTTCCTTGTATAAATGGCCCTATTGTATCCATTGTTTTGTTTCCAATTCGAAACTTTCTGGAATCCGTCTTGCCTAGTCCCTAGGCCTCATTATTCCGCGCGGCAAAAGTGTTTTGGTTCACGTGGTCCAAGCCTCGTATACGTCACCGAAGTGAATTGACTGAGAGGGACTGGGAAAACGTCGCACAGGGACTATAACCACTCCAACTAATTACGGTAGCCATTTCAGTCCCCACCGTTGGTTCTCTTGAGTACAATTGTTAAAACAGCCTTCAGCTGCAGTTAATATTTGTACATCCGGGCAGTACTTGTCTTGGAAATAAGGATAGCAAGCTGTATTTGCATGCTCTTGCTTTGATCTCATAAAGTACAATAGAATACAGACTAATGAGGTATTCCTAAAGTTCCTCCTAATTCACCATTTTCACAGTGCCCAGTAACACACTCTGCATACCCCAAAATTTTGCAAAGTTCTTGTTTCCAAATGCCCTTAGGAATATGAAAAAACCCATGGGGACCAGTCATAGACGAGGTTGTCACGAGAGAGGAGGCGGCGCAAAAAGCGCAAAAAAATAAAATAAACAAAAAACGGACAGACCCTTAACTTTTTCTTCTCGGGTTTACGCCCTCGTTGCTAGCGTCGCACAAGGTGTAAAATACGTCATTTGGAGAGGAAGTTGGGAAGACTGAAGGGTAAGTGCCTCTTTTAAGCAAGAGAGAACGGGCGCGCACGAGGGAGTGTCTCTTTCTCGCGCGCCCGTTTTTTCTTGTGCCCACTACTTCCAAGCGCTGCTACGCAGGCTATTGCGGGAGCTGCAGAAACAATGCCCTCCCACGGACCCCAAAGGAATAGCCCTGACTTGTTGCAATTCTCTCCCTGCGTACACGCAAAAGTCTTTCCTTTCGAGAAAGGAATAATCAATATGCTATTTTTAGATCGCCCTACCCATTCTTTTAGGGAAAGCCCTGGGGACGAGGTTGTGTCAAACAAAAAAGATACCCACTTCCGATAGTCAGAAAGGCTTTAAATGCAATATCCGACCGAAATAAAACTGAAACTTAATTTGCTTTGCGAGTTTTAAGGAACAGAAAATTACTGTTAAAAAAAGTATTTAAACCAACAAAATTGACTCTGTCACATTTTATAAGCATAGAACGACAATAATTTTTGGGATTTCCGGATAGATATTATTATAATCTAAACTTCCCAAAATAATCAACCACTGCATCATGAAGTCAGCAGCCCAATGAACCCCTACTATATGGGGGTCTTGAAAATTTGTCTGCTTCACTGTCTCAGAAGCGCTCACGATGCAACTTTCCCTGTCGGCCCCTTGCAAGCCAAAGAAATAATCTGTCCATACCAGTCTACAGATGTTCACTTCAGAAAAAGACAACCAACGCATTATAATGGGAGTTAGACAAGTGTTTCTCTCATGCTCCGGTAGCTTGTTAATTATCCGTGCTTTCACCCTCCTCCTTTTGAATGAAAGGTAGGGAAGATCTTTGGGGTCTTTTCTGTATGTTTTGTTCTTTTTGTGACCGAGCCATTTTTTGCCGTACAGAGTCTGCATACAGAAATGATAGAGGCAAAGGTAAAGTGAATGAAAACAATTCTTTCTCTAACAGCAACAACATTTAACACCATGTTCGTATTTCAAAGCATTTAAAAGAAGCCAGAAGCCATATATAAATATGACATTCTTGTCATCTGCAAGTCTGCCTCTACGAACGTTTTATTTTGAACGTTTTATTTTAGCTTTTTAACGTCTTCGTTAATTGTGTGTATTTTGCATTTTAACCATACTCTACATGAAAAAGTTATATTAATAAAGATTATTATTATTATTATAACTGGTAATTTCATAAAACATTCAAAATATGAATAGTCTAAAATTAAGAATTTTATTGAGACTGATTTGCTATTTGTGTGCATAAACTGTACATTAAACTTTAACTAAAACATGCAACTGGATTGGGGCACTAAATTGTTTTTCTCAAATATATGCTATGTGGATTACCTGCTAATCATTTTCATTGAATTATTGTTGCACACATACATACAATTTGTCACACCACGTGATACATTAAGGTGTCTGAACACAGTTTTGGCAATTTATGAGTGTGTGTCATTTGCCAAATCATGGCAAGAGGAAGGTTGCAGCTCACAAGCTGAAACTTGGCAAGTGAAAAATACACTGATGAAAAATTTTGATTGACAGGTAAAATTTGACGTTTTCGTAGTTTCCATGGCAACATAAACGATTGAATACAGCCTTAAAATTCCACTTTTCCTCAGTTTACATAAAATTCGCTCATTAGATTTTCCTATAAACTTGCACACAGCTTACTATAACTAATTATTATTACCATTTGAAACTTATTTTACCAAATTTTAACAGACGGGATTTTAGATAATCAATAGTATAATGGTACTGTAATTATTAAATGTGTCACAAAATCCGTCTGTTCAACTTCCATTTTAAAGTTCTCATGATTTAAAATACAATAAAAGTAAAAACTCTGCCAAATATCACAAAATTTTAATGTGTAGATTTTGAGAAATCGTCTTCTGTGTACCATTGCTTTTTAACTGCCATGTTTGTGTGTCTAATTTAAAACACGCGCCTTCACGCTAGTTACCGCTGACCACCCGCAAAACTGTGTTCAGCCACCTTAAGTGCAACTGGTAAAAATGAACAGCCTCATAAAATTCATTCTCTTTACATCAAGCCCAGACATTTTTGAAAGGCTATTATAGACTACATACCAAACAGCTTACCACACGGCATTTTAAAGATCTATTACTAATTACCCAGTCAGTCTCCTTGTAAATGATACAATGTTCCACTCTGGATCAAAATTGCTCGACCCTTTGGAAAAAAAATAACATTGAAAATTCCAAGGCAGATGGCATCTCAACAAGAATGGACTGGATGTTAGATCATTGAAAAAACGGCGCATGTAGACGAGGTTTGGAAATTTCTTCTAGAACAACACAGAGTCACGCAATGGTTGTGAACTAAAGATTTGGATCTCCTTTTTGTTCAGTTGTTTGTAGATACAGCGGTTGAAGCCTTGTCGGAAGTTTGGTAACATGTTATTCATCTGGAAGAACAGAGATGACCATTCCATATCTTGGCCAGCGATACTCCCTTGGAAGTCTGATCTGGAAAAAGGAATACAATCGTTAAGCCAAAGATATCGGTTATGATGATGAAAAATAAATCCAGATCTAAAATATTCCTTGTTGGTTTATTTTAATCTGACACTGTCTGACATGTATTCCCATTGTTATTTGTCACCACCTGTACCCACCCAGATCATATGTCATTTGGGCTAATTTAATCCTTATTGTAAAGCCCTGGCAGGAAAGAGCAACAAACGTCTTGCAAATGTATAACAGTGGATATGATCCTCACAGTTGAATAAACATTAACTAAGCTGTTGAAAAAGAACCTGAAAAAATTTAGGCTTGACCAGGGATCCAACCCTGACCTTTGCCAATGATAGTTTGTCACTGATAGTAGACAATATTTTGACAATATTTACCTCACTTGGTCTTGTTAACTCATCCACATCTTTATCAAGCCTTTGCAAGAAGTCCTCTGTAATCAAAACCTGATAAAACACATGAAGAGCAGGCAAGAAGCCAGTTTTGTAATACCGGCTAACTAGAACTGAAGTACTCTGAAAGAATATTATTTGAATGAACAGCTGGCCAATACACAGTGTGCAAACAAAGTCATGTCCGATAGCCCAGGGCTAGTGGATTTTGCAATCAGGCTAGTGAATTCTGTTCTTAACTTAACGGCAAGTGAAGTTTTTTGGGAAAGTCAAATTACAGAAGAACTGTAATCAATGCTACTCATCAAAAATCTTTTTTGGCTACTTAAAAGACTCTTGGGGTAGTACATACTAGCGACAACTTGCCAGAATGGCAAGCCGTAAAACTGACTTTCTTTGCACCCTGATACAACATGCCCATTAAAAGTATGGCACAATTGTTTTTAATATTGAAGTACCCATCTGGATGAACCTTACCCGGCATTCTGGCTATAACAAACACTATAATTTGATAATGCAATTCTGGCTAGAGGCAAAGAGAGACTGTCATCTAATCATAGACTGCTATGTTAAGCAGAAGTAGCTACGGTTTTCATCAAGCACTTATTATATGTCCTATAAGGCTTGGTCAATAATTTGGAGCCCTTTATGTCCAAAAGACAAAACAAATACTACCTGGAAGAAGCAAGATTGAAAGCTACAGTCCAACATGGTTGTTCAAAGGTGATCCTGCTATCTCAAAATTCAAATTTAGATATGCATGAATCAAAAGGTTCCAGTGACAAGAGTTTCTCAACTTCCTTGCCTTAAAACAATTCCAAGAATGTGATTTACTATCGTTTTTGCAGAAAAACAAAACATTAATCTCCTCAACCAAACACTTGATTTGTTGAGACTTAAATTCTCCAAAACTTTGAGATCTGAATAGTCATTTGCTTGACACAAAGATCCAGAAATGAGGCACAGCTGATACTACATTTCAAATAAATAACCTTAACACACCTGAAGCCAGGTACCACAGGCAGCAAACTTGTGATCATTATCTGTTATGGAACCTGTGACATTGGGAGTTAGAAATGTGATGGCCATATCACTCATGGAACTGTGAAATGTGAAGTGTCGCCCATGATTAAGACGGCCCCTGAAAAAAATAAAAGCAGTAAAGGAGTAACAGGGTGTTCATTAGGCATCGGAGAATTCTCCGTTTATTGTACAGAATTCTCTGGGTAATGTTCGATAACCTATGACTTCTTTTTGTACAGACATGGAGGCTTTTTCAAAAATATTCTCCTGTAACATTACACCTTTCTCCTGCTACAAGAAGTCTTACTGACAACCCTGTTAGTCATAAAAAGAATGAATTATACATTCACTGTACAAATCAATGACTAAGAACTTTCAATTGTAAACTGAATTAATTATTCGCTGTTGTAATTTTACTGATAACTAAGCACCTTCCCAAAATGCCAAGACTCGGCAGTCACATATGATCTCTTGTGAGAGAAACTATCACTGCGGGTGCTCGGTCGAGCTCGGTATTTTGATTGGGTGGCCATTTAGAGGAGCTGGTTACTTAATATAAGAAGTGATTGTATATGGCGATTCATTAAAATGTGGATATGACTCAAAAGCAGATTATTTCCCCCTAAAGGTGCTTAACAAACAGGAATGGTTAGTAGTAAAATCTGAGACTTATCAAGAATCTGAGACTTTAAGCAAAATGGTCAAGACTTCAAGATGAAATGAGTACCGTCCACAAAAAATGAGAATTTGAGACTCATCATAACCATTCCAAGATTCATGATCGGCTCCAAAATTTTTTATGCACCATTGACCTTGAAGCTCACACAGTACTTACCTCATAGCAAGTGGCAAAAGCATCGCTGCTTCCAACCCAAACCTAAGATGAACTCCACGAAGTGTCCTTGTCCGTGATATTTCACTCAAAACGCTGCTACAAGCCGATCTTCTCTCTAATGCAGAACCTGAATTTATTGGTGGTAGCACAGGAAAGCGAGCAGCAACATCTCTCACTATCATGGCATCGTGAGATGAACCTGGAGGAAATCCAGCATGGTGACCTGGAGAGTTGTTGATAAAGTTTTCTTCCCACCAACACTTTGCATATACACCACTAAGATTTGAACCTTCTTTCTTGATTCCACTTGACACTCTTTCCTGTTTTACAGTGATAGATATTACTGAAGTTTCATTAAAAAGGACAACTAAGTCCCTGTCTTAAATGAAGGTGAACAACCTCACTGCATTAAAATTGCCTCAACAAAAGCTCGGATGTGCCAGCAGGTAAAGAAATATAAAAATACCTTTGAACTATCCGTTTACAGGAATATACATGTAATAATTAATAATATTTAGACAATTTTAGAAGTATTCAAATTGATAACTTCAGCCTATACCAGTAATTTAGAATACTTACAGTGTAACAAACATAACTGAGGGCTATTTGTTGTTCTTAATAGTCTTGATTGGCTTACAAACTACTAAGTCAGATGGCTTATTTCGCTATGAATGTGACTTTTGATTGACCAATAAAATGTTGGGGACCCTGGTTGACTTTGTTGTACTTTAATATGCACAAGTCATAACATTTTGAGTGTTGATTAAAAACAGTTACTGGTATTTCTTATCAGACTTTCCTTTAAAGTGTGTCTTAGAGTACATTAAGCAGTTTTGACCCAACATAAGTCCGGCCTGTCTTCTAGCAAGATATTTTTAATGAAAAATTTCCACACCAAAGAAGTGTACTGATAGGTGATAACAATAATGGTAGCGACTATAGTTCAAGCAAATAAAAACACATTATAAGTTACCTGAAGGTTGGGATTAATAACAAAAATTGATTCTATTCTATCCAGATCTGTTATGAGCCAGGGTCCACCAGCCCTAAAAAAAAAGATGAAAAAGATGATATTTAACTGAATAAAACACATGCTGATCTGCACCCTGATCTGCACCCTGATCTGATCTGCCTCCTCCTTACCAAATAAATAATAAAAAATGTGAAATACGGGTAGTTATGGCATGATAATTATGTGGTGTTAAAATAGCTAATACATTAAAATGAAATCAATATTTTTTTAAACATGTAGACAAAAATTGTTGTTTTCGTTTGTATAAATGAGAAAAGTAAAAAATAGGCAACAGCTCAGTGGGGAAGATATAACAACTTGTACCATTTAGAACCTTGAGGATTCCAAAAGCATAATTTTGCTCTAAATTTCCACCATAATATCGTTTTATGGGGGATCACATGTACACCACTTACGGGGGAACACTTCGCAGAAGATCCAAAACTGCAGGGCCATTCCAATGCTGAGCTGCTTGTAGTTCTTCTGAGCAAATTCCAACCACCTTTCATAAAACAAAGCCTCTTTAAATTTGATGACATTAACAAAACTATCATTTAGTTTTATAGAAGTAATTCACACAAATTTCTCCTAACATTTGCCTAACCTGTATGAAGCGCACAGATCCCAAGGGACTTGTAATCAGTGGCAACTGTGGGTCATCTGCCATTAACATGTGCTGTATGTGAGATGGGTTACAGTCATACTGACCAGCAGTGGAAGGCGTCTGGTCTAATGGCAAGTGCCATGACACATGGTCACCACTCTGTAATGTGTTATCTGTTGAAGAAAAGACAAATTACAGGGCCACTCTCAGAACAATCAAAGATAAAAATTTAAGTGAATTAAGAAAAAAGGGCCCATAAAATCCGTTTCATTTTAGGAGATAGATGATATACTATTTATTATTAATTTTATATTATACATACAGGTATTTTTCTAGTGCATTTTGCTATGTTCTCTCTCAAGCTTTTGACTTAGATGTGTAACCATAGCTAGCGAAATGGTTTGTCACAGCAATGCATTTTTAAACCAACTGTAATCTGCACACCTGTTTGGAAAATATAACGGGCCAGAGACTGCAGTAATTCTGCTGGCCAGCTGGGTGGTGATGTCTCTCCAGCTTGCTTTTTCAGTCGAAATGTGAGCTCAAACCCAAACCCACTAGGACCGTCTTGCCTGGTAACCCTGTGCAAAATGATGATTTCATCAACAGTAAGCAATTAATCTTAAGTAATTTTGAACAATATGCATGGATTTCTGATGCCAAGTGTCACACTCAAAGATATTTCCTTGCTTTTAGGGAAAAAAGATTAGATATCTTCTTGACCAACCATGGCAAGGAGGCCCACTTTAGCCCACACTGTAGTAAAAGCTATCACTGTTGGTTAATGGTATGTGGCATGGTAGAAAGTTCAAGAAATTCTCTGTTTTCACTGTTACACCATCACAAATTTAACTGCAAACCATTCAAAACAGAAAGTCCCAAATCTGGGAAATGAAAGAAGATAAATATACAAAGAGCCTCGCAAAGAATCAGGTCTGTGCAACATTTCATATGTGGGATATTTGGAAAAAGGTTTTACCCAAATTTATAAAGCTTTGTATGGAGATGCCATGTTGGTGTCCCTTGGAAGGGGCACAAATGTTGCCGCCGGAAACCAACAGAAAGATCTGTCTTTGAGTGTTACTACAAATGTGCAAATTCATAAAGAACTCATAAAGATTAAAGTAATATTTATTAAGAGCTTTCCTGGTCACCAGCTAAATGCCATATCATGCAAAAGCCTGGAAATTCAAGTGTCCTCTATTGCAAAACGGAAAACCCTTTCCAACCGAAGATTTGTTTAAATAAAGGTGTTTTGCCGCAGTAATACCTCATGAAAGTAGAAACTCAGAAGAATCGACAATTCCTTCCTTTGAATTTTGGTGATGTCATGTGAAAACCGAGAATATGTAAAATTTTTCTAATGAGCAAATTATACAACAAAAAGGTCCAGGGTGGAAATAAAGACATCTACTTGGCGAAAATAGGGGAAAATATAAATTGGAGAATCAGGAAATCAGAACCTATTTCTTTCCACCTACAGTATACCTAACTGACAGAGACTGCAAAAAGTTTACTAAATAATGCACTCCTTACTCATGGACACGGCCATCACCATGGAGGTCTGATAATCCAGATGAAACATAATGCCAGTGAGATGGAATACCTTCCATAGGACTCCCTGGGTTATTAAACATGCTGATGAAATCCAGTGGGTCAGGACCTCCAAGCCTGTCAAGATAAAGACACCACCAGATATTAAATTGGAGTTCAACTGAAAAAGTGGTCTTGCTCAGGGCAGTCAGTGAGGTCTGAAACTTGCTTTGGAAATAGGATGTTTAATTTTTGTACAACCCCCCCCCCCCCCCCCCCCCCCCCCCACCTCTTTTACTTTTTCTTTCCCTACTCTTCTATCCACTACAAATATTTTTTCTTTTTTTTATTTTTCTATGAACATAAATAAAAATATTAACAGTATATTTGAATGAGTTAAGCCAGAGTGGATGTTGCTGACCTACAGACCGTAACAAGCAAACCAACTCCACAGACTAAATTGTGGGTGCACACTAAAATTGGGTTTGTCTAAGAGCTTGTGATCGCACAGCAACTCCTTTTTGAAAAAGTTTTTTTTATTTTTTTAACAACCCCCCCCCCCCCCCAAGATTCTGAATCTCCATTTTTTGTGTCTGAATCCTTTGAAAACTTAAATCTTTTTAGTCAATTTTTAATAAGCATGTTTGAAAAAAAATATGAAAGATTGAAATTTTGTCAGCTTAGGGGATAAGAACACCAAATCCCCCTTTGGAAAAACTTGCCATCCTCAGCGGGGGCGGAAGTAGGTGGAGGGGGTGGAAAAAAAAGTTGGAACGTCCCGATGGAACGTCACATCTCAGTACGTATCAAAACGCGCACTAAAAACTACAGCATATTGACTGCCAGTAAGACTATAGTAAGGGCATAAGTAACTACATGATTAACTTGCAAGTACACTAACCAGTATTTCACTAATGCAGTGACTTGTAGCGGATTAGGTTGGTCGGGATAAATTTGTTTCAATGTGGCATAAATCGCTTGCAGTCCGCGAGGAGTGGGAACGCTTGGCGCAGGCATTGGAATTCCACGATATCCGGCAGACATCTTGATGGCTTCAGATCGAAGTCAGTATGTTACAAAATCCCTCCACAGTTTTCTTGCTTATGTGGGTAAAACAAACCGACCAATGATTATTAAGGTCTGCTTGTCCACTAGAAATAGTGCTGGTGTTGAGTATAGTTACGCGGAAAGTGAAAACTCAGAAGGTCATCTGTTCGTCGATCGAAGATGATCTTGCTAGGCGAACGCGCCGAATGTCCGAATAGGACTGCCGTGTATATCCTAAAAAGTGCCTGCTTCACCAAATTCAATAAGCTCAACGAGTAAATTTAAGGATCCATGGAAATGCTCCAGCAAAGTGCTGCTGTACAAACAGAGTAACTCTGTTTGGCAAACATGAATGTCTGATGTGCGAAGAAGTATTGTGTTTGAGATAGACTGGGCCGAGTTCGTGACAACCAAGGACTTATGGGATATCGCTTAATTCAAGATGGCGGCTGAACCACCACCACCAGCAAAACTTGATTACAAATCGCGACGTTTAGTGGGTCAGATTGTTGAATATGTAAAGTCACAAGGCATTTTCGACCAATTTAGACGTGACTGCATTGAAGAGCTTGAACAAAAGGTTAGTTTAATATTTAGGTGAAGTCAGTAATATCACATTCAATGATCTGCAACCTTCCATTTAAGTTTAAGCTTATTTCTCTTTCGCAATTCTTTGTGTGACAATTCTTGTTGAAGAGGAGATAAAGGCTCAAGCAATTCCAAACATGCCTATTCCCGAAGAATTTTTCGGTCTAACTCATGTATCAAAATATGAGTTTCCACGCTGTGGCATTTGCCACCAAATGTTTTTCCAGATGTGAGGTTGTTTGTCACTGTTTTTTCTATCTTTTGGCATACATTTCTCTTTGTTTTTTGCAAATTGCTTGTTCTTCCAGAACATCACTGTACACCCCAATACTGACTACCATCTAATTTGTCTTTAAAATGTCACAGCTTAATCAAACACAATGGACATGAAAATAAAGTAAATAATGCCAATAATCAGTCAAGAAAACATTGTTAGACGGCCAGTTTAAAACACAGACTACAGACTGTGAAAAGACTGGGTATAAAATATCAAATGGGTATAAGAGATACATTAGAAACCACTAACTTGATATAAGGCAAGGGACTGTTTTATAAACAGCTCTTCTAGTTAAGTAAACATGTGGTAAACGTATTGCTTATTAGCATAAAAGAGTAGTCCTAGCCTCCCACATTAACATTCATTCACACAATCTCGTCTCCCCGATGTACATGGGGAAGGCAAGCATTGTGAAGCCTTAAAATTGGATAGGTAAGGAAGCTCATGACAATACTTGATGTTACTGAAAATAAAACTGAATTTGATTTTTTGAAAAAAAGAGTTGGAGGACAATTTAGTTTACAGTTTAGCTTTAAACCAATAAAAGACATAAATCTGAAAAGCATCGAATCAAGAAATAAAACCAACCGACAACAATGTTATCCCTTTAATACGCCTTTTTCGGGCTATAAGCTTCAACTCTTCAACCCTACAACTCAAGATGAGATCGCTGAGATTGCGAAAACTTTTCTTCCAGGCAAAGCAGCTGGCTACGACCAGATTCCAATGACATTCATTTAATAAGGAGTCCATTCTACTTGTTTCTGAACCACTCACCCATATCATAAACTTGTCCATCCAGCATGGTATTGTTCCCGATGAAATGAAAATCACTCGCGTGATACCTATTTTTAAATCTGATGATCAGTCGCTTTTCGCCAACTACCGACCTATCTCGGTGCTTCCCAGCTTTTCAAAATTCTTTGAAAGAGTTATCTACAATCGTTTAATGCAATATCTGATGAATTTCAACATCCTCTGTAGTAACCAATACTTCTTCAGGAAAAATCATTCCACTGCACTCGCGCTAATCGACTTGCATGATAAGATCTCCACGGCCTTTGACCGAGGTGAATTTTCCGTAGGTATTTTTCTTGACCTCTCAAAAGCCTTTGACACTGTAAATCATATCATCCTTTTTGATAAACTTGAACATTACGGTATTCGTGGCTTAGCACTGGACTGGATAAGAAGTTACTTTTCAAACAGAAAGCAATATGTTGAATATAATGGCCACCGTTCATTAAGAAATGAAATCTCTTGAGGGGTCCCTCAGGGTTCTATCCTCGGACCTCTATTTTTCTTACTGTACATTAACAACATCAACAATGCTTCTAATCTATTAAATCTGATATTGTTCGCTGACGATACCAATGTATTCATGTCACATAAAGATCTGAACTATCTCTCAGATATGTTAAACTTGGAGATGGACAAACTGTCAATCTGGTTTAAAGCAAACAAGCTTTCTCTAAATCTTAAAGAGACTAAATTTATGGTCTTTAAACGAAGACAAAAGCGTTCAATTTGTAATATTCAAATAAGTATAGATAATCAAAATATTGTTGAAGTAAAGGAGACAAATTTTCTAGGCGTAATTTTGGATGAAAACCTAAATTGGAAGTCTGAAATATCACACGTTGCAAGTAAAGTTGCGAAGTCAATCAGTATAATATCTAGATGCAGCTTCTTTCTTCCTAAATCGTCTTTACGTATGCTCTACTATTCCTGAATTTATCCTTATTTTTACTACTGCAATATCGTTTGGGCTTCGACCTATAAAACCAATCTCCGCCGCCTTGTTATCCTGCAAAAGCGCATTATTAGAATTATTAATAAATCACATTTCAATGCTCGTACTGAACCCATCTTTAAGGACCTCGGTATACTAAAATTTAATGATATCCATTTGCTTCAACTGGGCCAATTTATGTATTCTTGCAAAAATTCATTCTTACCTCCAAAGTTTAATAACAATTTCTCTCAAAGCAATCAATTCCACTCTTACAATACAAGAAATTTCCAGGCCTACCGTCTACCATAATGTCATACAAACACGAAGAAGTTCTTGCCCTTTTTTCAAGGGCCTAAGTTTTTTAATTCACTTGACAACAAGATCATCAACTCTCAATCCCTCTCCTCTTTTAAGAAAAAATTGAAGATTAAATTATTGAGTAAGTATGAGAACAGTTCATAAGTCTTTCCATCTTCGACTTTTCGCCTTCTTTTCTTCAATTGATGTGAAACAGCTCTAGGCTGTAATTCGAGGAGTCCTAACCTCTCATAAGCTCCTATAGTTTCTGTGAGGTCTCCTCGCCACTTCTTTTTTTCTACTTTTCCTATATTTTTTGTAATTATTGTGTGGCAAATAAAATAAAATAAAATAAATAAATAAAAATAAGTCATAGACCTAGACTGGCCACAACTCTATTTCAATGGCTAGGATATGAGCAAACAAAGAACCCATATGAGAAGGTCAATACAGGGGCACATATGCAAACAATGCTGTCTTTATAAATTGAAACGACGTGTTATGCTATTAAGTGATCTTTTGATCATATTTTTACCTTACCTAGAAGTAAGTCGCCCCGGTTTTTTAAACATAGTCTGAATTCTGCATTTTATGTCCAGTCCATGTTTTATACCCAGTCCACAGTCTGTGCTTTATACTGACTGCATAGTGGATGTAAAAAAATAATGCCCTCATCATTCTGAATGCCTGGCTTCAATGATTTTTCTTCCTTGCTGTAAACAGGAATCTTATCGGCAGTTGACACAGAGAGTAGAAAGTCATGTAGCAACATTCTTATCTAAGCAGACATGGTCAGATGCCCTTCCTAAAAACCAAGTCAGAGACAGCTTGCGAAAACACATTAATCAGTAAGTTATGTTCATGAAGAGTGTAGTAGGGTGTTGCATATGTTATTAACCCTTGGACATACATACCCACACCATGGTACAAAAGGGGAGAGAGGCTGATGGGGACGCTCCCTAGAGTTTCTGATATGTTGCAGTATTTCAAATAGAATTTTACCTTCAGTGGAAAGCCTTTGATCTTCTCTACAAGATGAGGTACATGTATATTTTATGGGTGGTGCTGCTGCTGGAGACCTGTAACGTCACCAAACATGGTCGCCATCTTGGCCACCATCTTGGATTTTACCGAGAACTAGAAAACACGTAAACAAGGTGAAAATTGGTAATTTTTTGTGCTTGACATGTAAAATAACACATAAATAAGTACTTTGCTTCATTTTATCTGCAAGATTTACTTTTATCGTTGAAAGAAGTCGAAAAAACATGCAATTTCCCTCAAAAATGGCTTGACCACCTGGTGCTTGTGACATCATATCTCGTAACCATAGTAACTGATCAACACTAAACTTTTTTCAAAATGCACATGAGGGATAAACAAACAGGTACTGAAGACGTCAGGTGCTAATGTCTAATGGTCTAGGAAAAAACTCAGGAAAACCTCACAAGGAGGTTGGGGTGGCATCCACCCTTCCCCCTGCTTGTACATCCAGTCGTTAAGTATTAGTATGCAGGTGCTTTGAATATTCAGGGTGGAGATTATATCATTCTATTTGCTGGTTAATGTTATCTTAATAAAAAAATTTGAGAAAAACGTTCTGATATCCATGTGTGGAATGGTAAATGGCTATCAATTTTTGTTTGGAAATTACGAGAGTTGTTTTGCTAAAGATGAGTATGGGTAAGAAAGTTAGGCCGGGTGTCTTTTATAGAGTCCATTCACTTTTTTCATTTAATATAGATCAGAGGTCTTGGACAGAGGTGTAAAGCAGCTTATTTCGCAAGCTCTTGAAAGTAAGTCCAAGGCTTTCCAGACTCGCATAGAAGGGGTGGTGCAGAACTACATTTACATGCAGAAACACCCTCAGAACCAAGACAAACAAAATCGCAAACGTAAGACGGGAGATGACAAGGAAGAGAATAAGCCATCAGTGCCTATTTGCGACATCAGTCAGCTCATTCCTGTGCCATCTACAACAGGTATATCTAAAGTCACAAATTAGTGGGTTGTAAACAGTTTTTCTTGTAAGAAGCATTTTAAAATTGATAACAAGCAAGGTTCCTTTAGAAAGGGCAATAAATTGTATGTAATTGCTTAATCTTCTGCCGTTTCAATCTGCAAAATGTTTTTGAGACTTTCATATAGTTATTCCAAAGGCTTTCCTCTTACAAGCTTGGGCAACAGGCTCTTTTTTGCTGATTCACATCTTAGGCTCAACCAGGAGCTCAACCAGAGGGATTTACAATAATTTTAAGAAGGCTGGGTCAAACTGCTCATGCTTGAGTAGCAATTCATGTCAGTAATGTGTTTGTTACAATCACGTGGCCCTCTGCATGTCAGTATTCCAGGGATATTCTCCCTCACCCTGCGGCTCCTTGTAAACTCAGTAAGTGTTTGACGGGTGTTGGGCGAATTTGAAGGATTGGCGGACACTTACTGTGAGCGAAATTACTATAAATGTCAGATGCTGCAACCAACAAGAAACTTTGTTTATTTAATTCTATTGTGAAAGTTTGTGAAAGTTATTGCGGTGTTATTTTATTAAGGTTCAAAGAATGAAAGTCATGGAGTCGAAAAAGGAAAATTGGGTGTTCAAGAAAGTTCTAAGAGTGCAGCAACTGTGAAAGGAATTCAGCAAGTGAAGAAATCCCACCTAACACAAGGAAAAGCAAGTAGTCCAGGAAGCCCTTCCTGTAGAAAGGAACAAACAGAAGAGAGTAGCAGAACTAAAGAAGGAAAATACAGAATATCAAGAGTAAAAACGGAAAGTTTGAGTCGGGATGATCACAGTCATATGCTTGCAAAATCTGAAGAAAGTGCGCACAAACTAAAAGATGACAAACCAAAGATATCGCGAGTGAGACCAGAAAATTTCAATCCAAACGAAAGTGTTTCTTCTCCTTTAGCAGTCGTCAGCGATAGTTTGAATTTCCTAGAAGGAAAGACCAACGCATTAACAGAGGCGATTCAAAGCTTGGCCCCAAGCCAGCTCTGCCAAACTGGTGAGGAAGGTGACGTCACTGGACTCCTGCATGTGAAGAGTGAAAAAACAAATGACAGTGAAAGGTCTGTCTTGTCTTCCTTGGAGGTTAAGGTGCATGTTAAGTCCGAAGAAAGCGGAACAACTGGGATTAAAACTGAGGTTGAAAGCAGCGAGCGTGCTATTCTCCATGGCCAGGAAAAGATTGTTGATGGCGATGAAAATGAAGGTCGGGTAAAAGTGATGGATGATGAAATTTCCAGACCTGAAGCCGGAATTCAAAGAAGCGATTACTGTGCTGCGACCCCAATAGTTGAAGAAACTGAGGACCGAAGAGTTCCTGAGAAGAACACAGACGCAGCTATTGTGGATGAGAAGAAAAGGAAAGCTTTAGATGGAGAGGATAAGTTGGAAAGTTCAAAAAAATCGACTGATCTGGTCGATGAAATGGAGTTAACTAGGGAAAACAAACTTGAAGACATAAAAGATCTGGAAACGGAAAGCGAGATCACAAACATAAATGTTTTAACTTCTGACGTGAGCAAAGAAAGGACTGTTGACCTGCCAGCTACCAGAGATGTTGACGAATCGGAGGAGAAGCTTTTGTCAAGCGAGAAAGCAGGAGCTACAGATATGGCTAGTGTAAATGAAAAATCATTCCAGGAGCAGTCACTTTCCGATGAAAGAGGTCTTTTGTCTTTGCAGAAAGACGACATAGTTAGAAGTGAAGTAGGTTCTAATAAGGTGGAGTTAGAATCCATTGAAGGAGACCGTGACCATGCTGCTCACACTTCTTCATCCGATGAACATTCTGACGTAGAGTCAGACATCTCTGAAGTATCATCGGTACATACAAGCGATTTGTCATCATTTGACGATGAGATCAGTTCTTCGAGCATGTCTAGTGATGAGCAAAAAGAGGAAGCAGGCAAAACAGAAGCAAATGAGGAGCCAAAGAGCGAGGTTCAAGATAAATCCAATACGCAGTCGCAAACTGAGAATGCTTCTGACGCGGCACCTATGCGACGATCCACAAGGATCAGCTCGAGAAGAAGCACAAAGGAAGGTGAGAGTGAACAGTCAGGCGGAGAAGGTGGTAAAGCGACCAAGGCAGAGTCCCGTCGCCAACGAAGGCACGGTGAGAAAAGACAAAGGAAGACTCATTCTAAGACAAGCAAAGAGCGTAGTGATTATTCTACCGTGAAGCGCAGGAGAGGACGACCTCGTAAAGAAGAGGCGCACGCGTCAAGTCATTCGACGAATCAGAGAAGGCGTTCTAGAATACGTGATCCAGACGACATCAGCTCGACAGCAGGAAGGAGGGGCTCAGGAGTCGAGGACAGAAGCAAGCGATCGCAAAGACAAATTAAAAGAACTCGTTGTTACTCTCCGAGTAGTGAGGGTACAAGAGAAGTATTTCTCCCTCGTAAACGGAGCCGCGATGGCAACAGTTAGACTCTCCAATGTATCATCATATTTAAAATAGGCTACTTGTCTTATCCTGGGTCAGAATCTGTATAGTTTGTTGTCAACAATGCTTATTTACAACTTCAAACTTGGGTTTGGTATAATACGGAGCTTGAGCTACTACGACGACGAAGACAACGTCAAAAGACAATCGGTTTTATGAGCAAAACAACAGCTCTGTACGTGCATCGTGCTTTTTGGTTCATTTCTTTGACGTCCACTTCGGCGTGAAACCTCCTCATGCGACGTTTACGGAGGACGTGAACATACGAAGACGATATTTCCTTTCTCTTTTTGAACCTGGATAAAGTCATTACGAATAAAACTCCAGGAAAAGTCGCCTAGAGTCATTTGACAAATTGAGCAGGTCAAATAGACCGTTAAAGGTCACCAAGACGTCGACTCGCCGCCAACTAACGCGCCACCGAGAAGTCTTATCGCCACCAAAAAATAACTATGTAATAATCGACGTTGCAACTCACCTAGGATTTTTGCTTCTTCGCCAAGTTTATTCGAATTTGTAAACTGCGAATGGAAATTCAACGAGAGATAAAAGCTTACCTGTTTTGTTCTTGAATCTGCTATGGAGAGAAGTGAAATGGAAGTTGTTTTACGATGCGAAAACGATGTTGGTGTCGGACCGTTAATTTCACAGTGTTTTATTGCAGAGTTAGTACTTAGTGGCGATTAGACTTCTTGATGGCGAGTTGGTTGGCGGCGAGTCGACTTCTTGGTGGCGAGATGACCGGCAAAAAAATCGATAAAGTTTTCATTTTGGCAAATCATTCCCGTCAAATGCACAAAAAAATCCCCACCCCGGGCTGCACATTGCTGCCTTTGACTAAGTTTTATCTATGTTCTGGTTTCTAGTAAATTTAGAAACTGACATCTTTGATTGAAATGTGACAACATATAGTCATTTCAAAACTTAAATATTAACCTCATTCTGAGCTTACACTAAATTATAGAATATCAGCTCATGTGCCTGTTCCACGGGTACGATATACATGTAAAAATGTTATATTGTGTTCTTCTGTGAAAAAAATTTATTATTAAAGGTCTTGATTACCGAGCCGATTACTTCCGCATTACCTTCAAAAATGGTCACGAAAAAATCGTCAAGGTTTTATCTCCTTAGTAGACCTCTGCACGTTTTCAAACTGATTAGGTATTCCGTTTTGAAAATAGAGCTTCCGTTCACTTTGATACCGCAATATCTAAAAACGTTCAATTGATCCCAGTGCACGTCAGGCGAAGAAAGATTTCAATATACTCTCCCCGTGATAGATTGGTAGGTGACATTGATAGGTGCATAAGTACAACTACTTGTGTCAAAATTTTACTGTAGAAGGGGAACATGTGACATGTTTTTTAGACAATGTTGGCTGTCATATATTTCAGCTTTAGAGCTGCACCAAAGGTCGTAAAAACGTTTGTCATACATTGTTTATATTTCTGTTCACAGCACATTGAATTTATTGTATGTCAATGGTTAATTGATAATAGAGTGAAATTATATTACCAATATATACACGTCACCAAAAACCATTCGGGAAAAACTAATAAGACGATTTCTAGACTACTTTCTGTTCTTTCTATTGCCAGCGAATTCTTTAAAAGCTTAAGTAAACGGTTTAAAAAACTATCAAGGATTGCCCCAGTTTGGCACACCCAAAATACATTCATCATCTTGTAACAGCAAACAGTGATAAGTAAAACTATACAACTGAGTGTCTACTACTGTAGATCCTCAGACAGCTTATTGGACTGCACTTTAGAAGGCAACAGGTAATTTTCAAGTCCCGGAAACTATCTCTTTTAACATGAGGCTAAGTACAAAACTTTTCCTGTGAAAATAATGTTCCAAACAAAAGCTTAGCACTTACCCTTATTTTAAAACAAGGCTTATGGCAACTTAGGAATGGCCCATGCGCCACTTACACATCTCCCATGATGCACCTTATTTGCCCCCCAAAGTTTTGCATAAGCATTGTTTTCAATTTCTCTTGGGACAGCTTTAATACCCAGGAGAAATCAAAACAAAAGAATATGCAAAACTTTGGGAGGTAAATAAGGTGCATCATGAGAAGATGTGCAAATGGCGTATTGTAAAAGCTTACACTGTCTAAATTTAAGAATAGAATTACACATGTAAAGCTAAAGTTAAGTTCTCTTCAGAGTCTCTTGGTGTTGTAAAAGCTTACACTGTCTAAATTTAGGAATAGAATTACACATGTAAAGCTAAAGTAAAGTTCTCTTCAGGGTCTCTTGGTGTTGCAGAAACCTTTTCTTGGTTATCTGTTGTATTGTGGTGTGAATCTTGTTCATTGTCTTGTTAATCTTTTGTGTTTGATGATCAAACCATCTGCAACACCAAGCAACTACAGTTTGTTCTTTTGAGAAATAATTTAGAACTGGGATGAGAAGGAGGACTTAATTAATTTTCTGATCAATACATATGCATGGAGTACAATTCCCTTGTTGCGCCTTCTGTAACCGTCATTTTCATTCAGAAAGGTTTAAATAAATTGTCTGTATATTAACTCCTAGCTGTAAATAATTACAAAACAACTCGAGACATCCATAAGTTCACTGAAGTGAACAAATGGAACTCTTTGTTTGAGTGGGCGCTGCTCTTGAAGGCATTTCATGGTTGCTGTATTGAATGATGTCAGCCTTGATTACTCTCTGAAAGCAAAATGGTCAAGGAAAATCATAAGAATGAACTCAAAAATTTCTTGGTAATAAAGTCAAAACTTGATCATCTAGACCTAAATGAACAAGACCGCATGACAATCCATACTATCTTCTCTGATCCCCAAGTTTTCGTGCATGGTAATAAAATAATCACAAAGTTACAAAGATCCAATGATTTTGATGAGCTTTTTTCTTGCTAACATAAGACTTTCTAATTTACTTAGGGTGCAATGTACATGTATAGTCTGCATGTATGTTTTGCCTAATCCCTAGGCCTCACTTTTCTGTGGGGCCCTATGCGTCTCGGGTCTTGTGGTCTGAGTGAGAGGAGGCTGTTAGTCTCTGGTACATCACCAAAATGCATTGACCTAGAAGGCCTAGTCTCTCTATGGAACATGCCGTACAGGGACTAGACAAATGTATGCCCATAATTGGGAATTTTTTATTGAATGCAACAGTGATAAATATGTATCATGGAAATGAATCCACCTCCAGTTCAACTTTTGTGTTAGTCCCTTAAATACCTGAACTCTAAATTATTAATGATCATAAGTTGTGGAGTTTTAACCACATCCTAACCAGAGTTTAATACCATAAACTGATGTGATACAAATCACTTTGACTTTGAAAAAGACTACTATGCAGGTTGTTGAAACGTCAGTCACTGTCAACAACAGTCCTATTCAGGACTACACTCACCTGGACAATCATATTCCACCTACTTATGAAATGACTCCTGGGTTCAGACCATTCACAGTTTAAAATGAAATATGTCACATTAAAAAAATTAAAAACAAACAAAATTTTGACTCCCTCAAAACCTTTTCATGCATAAAAGTAACAAAACATTACTAAAAATTATTGTGAACATTATTATTAAAGGATACAGACTGTTGTTCCATTTCATTCTTTGTTAACCTAATTCCCAATATTTCTGCAGCTATTTTTTGAAAGCAGAGGCTGATCTGAAATTGATACAATTTTATTCAGTTATTAGCTAAACCATTACAAGTTATTCCAAAGTGTTGGCAATGTTACTTTTCTCTTATTATTTTTTTGTTAATTAGTCCAAAGTTGACACACAGAATTCAAAAGAAATTTTATTTTGAAACAAGGCATCAAGAGTCAAAAATTATTATCAAATCAAAGACAAAACAAGTTAAGACGACCAACGTCTTTCAAACAATTGGGTGGGTTCAAGTGAGACAAGGCCAGTGGCTTAACAACTTGCCCTTCTCAAGTGAGATAAGATCTCAAATCACGGTCAGCTTGACCTAAACAGCAAAACACAGGTTGGCAGTCTGCCTGGAGTTTGAACTCACGACTTTCCATACAGCAGACCATTGTCATTCCAACTGATCTGTGTGGTGCAGCCCATAATATAGCTCCACATAAGCATTGCACTCAGAAAAAAAAACCATGAAGAAGTTAATCCAGCATTGCTTTATTGTTATTGTTAAAAATTGTCAAATGAGACAAATATGTTAGATGTCCTTATGCAGTTATGGTTTTTGACCAAAAGAAAGAAAAAGAAAGAGATTAAAAGACACTGTAATTCACAAAAGAGACTGCGGCTTTTTACAAAAGGTAGCTGCCGCTAAATAAGCACTGCTTAAACAAGTAAGTGCCATAGTGCTCTTCTGAGTAAAAAGGAAAATGTAGTTATGTACAGCTGCATGTAAATGCAATAACATATTATTCTGTGTTCTAACCTGGTCCGCTGTCTTGGCAGAAACATAATAACTGAAAGGTAAATGAACATGTTAAACTTGCAAGGTTGGAGGCTTTAAATGTTGTTTTTACCACATGATTTTAATGATTTTTTTTTTTAGTATTTGTGTTATTCAAAACTTGTGGTGACAGAGCCTACAACAGTTAAACAATCTGCAAAGAAAGCAGCATGTCGTTTCTTTCTTTTGTTTTACAGAATTTAAAATTATAGAATTGAATAGAAACAAAGGCTGTGCTAGCTACTCAATGGGATGACTCCACTACTAGACACATGCTAGCTGTGATACTACAATGGAGCTAACATCTACACACTGTAATTTCTATTGTGTTTAAACTGCAATTCACCCTTGTACAACTATACCTTTGCAATCACTTAATGAATTTTTACCTGATTTGTGAAGTTGCATAACCCTGTTTAGTGATTTGGTAAAATTCTACGTTTTTATTAAGAAATTTAAAAGAAACACATTTTCACAGAAAGGACGCTCCATGAACTAAACTGCAGGACTGTCACTGAGATTTCAACTTGTTGTGTATATTATTTAATTAGGAGGCAAAAAATTGGACAGTTAAATGTTGGAAGTTTTTTTGGTTCTTTTTTCCTTTTCTTTCCTTTGAAAGTAGCTGGGGATGATGCTCATAAAGGCCCGGGAAAATCCCTAGTATCCGGTCCTTAGTAACATGCCTGGTTAAGCGAGATATTAATTTCTCAGGGTTATTATAATTGTTATTTCTTAAGTTATGTATTGTGTTGTCTCACCTTGACATCCCATGTTCTTGGGCAAATTTCCCATGTCGGTCTGATCTTACTACTCTCTGATGTTCCAGATCAACTGAAAGATATTAATATTACATTGTAATAAAGTTTTAATCATTATTAATAATTAGGTCACATGGTTTGCATAGTTTTCAGCTTGTACGATATAAATAATTATTTCCAATTTAGTCGTTTTCTACGTGTTATTCAAATAATCCCTGGAAAAATTTATTCAGTTATGAGCCTCTTTATACTCATTTTGTTGTGTTTGTCTTTATTAACTATCAGGCTGCCTGGGTTTGACACTATATGATTTGCTTTAACCATTTTAAAAAACAAACATTAAAAGGCTCCAAGAACAAATGTCTTATGCCCCCTAATTTGCTTTCAGGAGGGGACATAAAGCTGTTTTTTTTTTCAAATACAACTTACTTTTATTTGCTACAAGGGCAATGTGTGGCAACCTAGAACCATCTTTATCACAAAGTTTCTTCACTGTTTCATACCAGTCTTCAAGGTTATCAAAACTGTTTTGATTTGTTACATCATAAACAAGTAATACAGCCTGCAAAAGAAAAGCTGATGATGTTCATGTAGCTTGAAAAGTAACTTTTCCTTCTGAGTGGCACCTGAAGAGCAACAAAGTTTCTTGGTCTTGTCCTCATGTCACAAGTGAGAGAGAATTAAGCACATCTATGTAATTATACACATCAATAATTTTCCACAATCATTTGACTTGTGTTTTAGTTAACTTGAAAAATTGGAAACTACTGAGACGTATGACCATTTTTCTTCTCGTATTACCAAAACTGTATTGGTTACATTGATTTTGACTGCTTTGTTTTATGTTGTACTGTCATACTACATTATCAGGGAAGGGCAGCCCTCAACAAAACATGGCAAACATAATTTTGCTGGTGACCATGTGTTACTTGTGCTTATATGTAACTGCCACATGTGCGAGGTGTCAACAGGGTTAACTGTCTAGTGCAAAGTGACCATTTTCTGCTGTCGTAATCTTATAAATAGCAAAAATATACAAACTAGTAATAGTTGACACTACAGCTGCCCCCGGTCTGTATATTGTTGGTCAATAGTATTCTTGCTCATTGTGTAGCTCTTTGAAATATACCGATAGGTGAGATAAATTACAGGAAATAAACGCAAGGTTCCATGCACAGTTTCGGTTCGATTTACACAGCTTTGATCAAAACATTCTCAGTTTTGAGAATACTTTATTCTAAACCATAAGAAAAGATTTAATTAGAAGTTTGATTTTTCGCCATTTCTATTTCACTTTTTACATTCAGTTCATTTTATTTGCCGGAAAGTAAGCCTTAGAATTACAAGGACTTTTGATCAATTCATGCTCCCAAGCTCTATCTAATCATCTAAAACTTGAAAATTTTGAAAAGTTATCGATTTTTACTACGGATCATACCTCAAGCACCCACCTTCTTGGCGCAGTTGGGATGGCCAAAAGGTAGCCATGGCCATTTGATAAAAGTGGCTGCTTAATATAGGTTTAATTTACAATTATTTTCTCCAAATCAATTTTGGAACTTTGATTGCTTGCCGTTGAATGGATGGTGGCTGCTTAACAGCCTTAAATGGCCACTTAATGGAGGTTCAACTGTAATTCTATTTTGCAATGATATCGTTACGTATACATGTAACTTAAATAGAAAGTTACTGAAACTAGAACTTACGTGAGCTCCAAAAATATATTTTTCTAACATTTTCCCACCCAGAGTTTGTCCTCCAATGTCCCACACTTGTAAAGTGACGTGCACATTTCCTATGGTAAATAAATAAATAAATAAATAAATAATTCCCTTATTCCCCTCAGCAGCATTTATAGCACTTATGCTAGTGGGGCCGAGCAAATGACTGAAACAAATAATTCAAATCAAACATAACAGGGTTAAGAATCCCAGCTGGCCTGGCAAACCAGCTGGCTATTTACATGTACAAGCATGGTTGAGGATTTGAACTTGGGACTACCGTAAACAAATCCAGCTAGTGGTGAGGGCGGGACTTGCAAGTCCAGTGCTCTAACTGCTTGGCCACGCTGCCTTCTCCAAACAGCCTCCAGCAAACCGACCACAATTCACATTTAAAGGATTGATAATATAATTAAGCCAAAAAAATCCCTAGGGCTTCAAACAAAACCCAAAAAAATCCCTGGACCAAACTTTAACCCCCCAAGAATCCCATGCCGAATTTCCCCGCCATAAAAATTTCCAGGAAGCATTAACTGAATAGAAACATTAGTTTTGAATACCCAAAAAAATACTTGCCAAAATCTTCCTACCCAAAAAAATTGTTTGATCATCCCTGTCACTTGAAATCCGGAGTAACCCCCTTTGGGTCAAACTAGCTTTAAGTTTTATACATCTCATAACACAAATATATAAACGTACATGCCCTAGCCTTAGGAGGCAAAGGACATTTAGGATCAACCTAGATTAAAAACTCTTTTTGACCTGTAACATACACGAACCTGGTAAAACAATCCTCGCCAAAAAGAAGTCCAGTCCAAGCGTTTGCTTATAGGCTTTGTCAAAATTTTCCTGCGAATACCTCACACATATGGATGTCTTAAAACAACCCAAAAATCGTGCATTAGTACGCATTTATAAAAGACGTCAAAATGTAAGCTTAAATGGTGGTGATACAGTTGTACACAAAACTCCACTCATCTAAAATAGCTTTACTTTATGACTAACAATCACAAATACCTTTCCCGATGCACCATCTCCTAAAAGAACAAACTTAAGCTGATGATCTGTCGCTGTTTCTTCCTCTGAATCGGACATTTCACTGAGAAAAAAGACCACAATTTCACCACAATTTTACGGCCATGTTTGATTCTGAAGTACTTTTGTTTGTCGTGACGTCACGGTAACAAGTTACTGTCCATAAGAATCGCCGGCTCTGCAATTTCCCTGTTGTGTTTAAAATGGCGGTCAGGTAAGTGGGGTCCTCTTACTTAACTACAAGCAGTTTACGCCAAAATGCATGAAAATGCGGTAAGATTCGAAGATTTATAGTAAAGGGCTTCTAATGAAGCTCTTCGTTGTCAAAAATTGACGGATTTTCTCATAAAGAACCTATCTCCCAGAGTATCTCTGATTTCCATATGGAGTAAGCTCATGCAAACATCCGGGGGGGGCACTTGGGTATTTTTCAGGTGGGTATGTGCCGCCCGGGACTCCTAATTGGCACCCCGTTTTAAAAAAGATTTCCCCTAAAATTGATACCCCGTTCTAGAAATGGGCCAATTTTTTACACCCCGTTCTAGAATTCGCCCTAAAACTGATACCCCGTTCTAGAAATGGGCCAATTGTTTATACTCCGTTCTAGAAAGTTTGTAAATTGAAATAGCTCTGTTTTTTTAAAAAGATATTTCTTTATTTGTTCGACTTATACATCAAATAAATGCTTCTTCATAATCAGCAACAATTTTAAGCAGAAGATAAAGCCGCGATCCACAATTTTTTATACCCCATTCTAGAAAACCCCCCCCCCCCCCCCCCGGGTGCAAAACCAAGAGAAATAAGCTCTCAACCAAAATTCCGACCGGTCCGACCGGGAAAAGTGGTCCACCTCAAAAGGTGGACCAGTTTTTTCGAAACTTTTCCGGATGGACCGAACCAATCCATTGAATTTTGGACTGAAATTTCCGGAAATTTTGGTTGAATGGATCGTACCCAGCGTGACCGAGTGGTTAGAGCGGTTGGACTTGCAAGTTCAAGTCCCGCTCTGACCGCTAGCTGGATTTGTTCACGGCAGTCCCAAGTTCAAATCCTCGGCCCCAGAGAGTAAATTCATATAAACTTAAACTTAAAAATAAACTTATCAGGTGATGATAGTTTGGGTACTCATGCATGGTGCGTGATTTCAAACGCCCAACCGCCGTATACCAAACAATGATTTGCGAAAGGTGTACAGAACATGCAGAGGAACATAACCGGCTTTTTTAAGGCTTGAATAACTACAGATAACATAACTTGATCTTTTCTATTACATTTTGTACTCTAGTTGTTGTTTACTGCACTTGCAAATTAGCGAAAGACGTTTTCAGAATTGTGCTTTAGGTTACAACACTTTCTACATGCAGAATTGTGCTGTAGCTCGTTTTGTTTTATTATTATTATTATTATTATTATTGATATGAATAGCCTGAATTTCATCCAATTACTTCGATTCGTTATTACTCCCTCAGTAACGTCTGAATCGACCGGCTGTTAATGCCGTCCAGTGACGTCACTACTCCTTGACCTTTGCTTTAATTCATGCAAAAATCAACAAAAAGCAAAACACGATTTTCAAGTGGCAAACCGAGAAATATTGTTTGGAAATGTCTGCATGATACAGAACTGCTTTATTTTTTTCGATTGTAGTTCATGTTTAACGTTCAAACTATCAACTGCATGCGGTACAACTCTGAACTGGTTGTACTAAATTCTATAATCAAACTCAGTCGCAATCACGCAATGAAATAAACACACACACGGAACACTTAGTTCAAAAACACAATGATTTGCTTTAATTGAAAAGAAGCTATTTGGTCCTTAACGAAGAAAAAACAAAGAGACAAGAAAGAAAAGCTAACAGAATCATCACACTTGACGGTAAAAATAGCAAGAAGGTCGAATTATAACATTGATCTCAGAAAACTTTGCGTAAACAAAATCACTGGCCGCCGAAACCACAAAGCGGCTCTGAATGAAAACTCACCTACCGACTCTCCGCGATGATTCTTCATTCGCAGTTCAATTTAGCATTTCAGTTTCGATGACAAGGGCAATTTTGCTGTTTAAGATAAAGATTAAGCTTATAGAAATGTTTGAATTAACCGAAAGAATGCCAGGGATGCGATCCGCTGAATATCAAATGACAATCCCGCTAAAATTTTTCATAATTATACATAATTATGCGAATGTTTAGACAATCAACCAATCAAAATCACTACCCGGTTTTCGGGTAGTGAGTGACGTCACTGGACGGCATTAACGGCTGGTTGATTCAGACGTTGTTGAGAGGAGAAAACGACTCGAAGCAATCGGATGAATTTCAGGCTATGATATGAAGGTGTTTAAAAGCTGAATTTCGACTACTACAGTAGTTTTTTCATGTTTCACGTACCCACTCTCCCAGCACCACAGGTCCTTTAATAAATAAATTTGGCTATTTTCTAAGAAGGACCTATCTTTTAGAATCCAATACCTACGCGAGTGTTTGAGTAAATGGTTACCACAGTTGCTCTCCCCTCCTCCCCACCCCCCTGCCCTTACCCCCACACACAAACTATCACATCAGAATGATTATTAATCTATTGACTGCACTATCTCAACAAAGACAGGCATATATATCACTGTCACCAATTTTTTTTTTCTTTTAGTCTTCTTGCTTGGTCAAAACCATTTGTCTAAGTAAACATGAGGCAGTACTGTATATATGTACAAATTAGAAAGTATTGGTCTCAGAGGCTTGGAATTGCCATTCCAAAGTTAGTACCACAAAGGATGGCATCAAGTGAGTCTACACAATTTCAGGCAAAATTGAAAAAGATTGGAGCTGTAGTCACAAGAGCAGGAACGTACAAAGGAAACCCAATTGTTGCAATTCTTGGCTGGAACAGTGCTCTGGACAAACATCTGGTAAAGTACAGTGAAATATTTGAAAACAAGGGCTTTGATACCATCAGATTATCTGCAAATCCATTTAACACGTTTATACTACTGAGCAGAGTCAAGGATGTTAGTCTGAAACTGCTCAATATACTCATTGAAATGAAATCTGATCCAAACCAGCCTGTCATTCTTTACTCCCTTAGCATGGGAGGTTTTAATGTGTATTACTTTATCCATCAAGCTATTTCAACTCCAGGACAGAAATATTTCAAATCCATAAATGTAGTGGGTTGTATATTTGACAGCTGTCCTCATTTTCCTGGTGCCCATAGTTTAAAAGGTGTCCGGTCAACAATTCTAGAAACCATTCCAAATCCTTTGCTGAAGGAGCTCATGTGGGTTGGGCTGGGTATTGTAGTTCCCCCAGCATTTCACTTTGGTCCATATATAAAGCGACTTATACCAGACTCTATACACTCACCCATGGGTTGTCCTGAATTATATCTGTATAGTAATGTTGATCACTTAGTCCCAGAGAAGAATGTGGAGACATTCATCAAAGCACACAAGAATAAAGATGTTGAGGTATTTTCAAGGCTTTGGGAGGGCTCAGGTCATGTACAACATTATAAGAATTACCCTGAAGAATATCTCAAAGAGGTAAATACTTTTACTGACTACTGCTTGAGAAAGCATGCCTTAAAATCCAGGCTGTAAGGGTGCTCTACACATTTGTTTTTAATATTTTTCATGGAGGTTTTGGGTAATAGTATTTATGAAATAAAATAAATTATCAAGAGTTACCTCTGTAGGTTTAGAAAAGTACCATGCCCTCTTTAAATATCTCTCCCCTCCAATAAGTTCCTTGTCAAAAATGGCCAGAACAAATAAGCTCTTCAAGCGTCTTTTAGAAAGATCATGGTACATGGATACCAGAGGATGCTTATCATTGATTAAAAAAAAAAACACGGTTCAGGCACCTAGTGGCATAATGGTAAACAATTTACCCTCAGACCGCTGAATCTAAAAAAGACCCGATTACCGTATTTCCTTGAATAACAGCCGGGGTCGATTATCCAAGGCAAGGCCATTATTTGAGGGAGGAAATAATTATTTCAAATATTGCTCACTGGAAGTCGTGCCCTAAATATTTTGTTTTATTATCCCATTAAAAGAAGAAAAATGATCACATATGGGCTTTTTAAGTTTTAAGAGTTCCAAATTTGGTTCCTTGATTAATTTTCAATGTCAATATCCTTGGCGTCAGACCTTGATTTTTCACTGATCAGTTTTGCTGGTCGGATCAGACTCTACGTTAACTTGGCAGGGAGGTGATAAAAAGAAACAGAGGAAGGCGAGGGGGGAGGGGGTGGGCGATTATTTTAAATATATCTTTCTAAAGGGGGCGATTATTCGAGTGAGGCGAATAATCGAGGGAAGGCTATTATTCGCGAAATGCAGTATGTATAGCGCGAGACTGGAACTACTTTTTTTGGTAAAAGGGTAAATGGTAAGCAACTTTCGTTAATCTTCTATATCAAATTCCCTATTAAGGGATGAAGCATTTCTTTTCTTTGAGGTGAGGAGGGGGCAAAATTAGTTTTGTGATTTTAAGGTTGATTTACATCATTTTTATTTGGTGCATTTTTCTTCTGCAACTGCTGTGCAGGAGTTTTTAAGTAAGCGCATAACCCTTTAAAGAACATTTAAAATGCCACGTTTTGAAGTTATATGTTATGCGGTGAACGTTATCATTTATCAACTAGCAACTTTAAAAATACTAAATTCTGTTTACAGACCGTAACTTAAAATATTGTTAATTTTAATAGAGAGTAACGGCAATTAAAACATTTTTAAATGCTTTGACGTCAAGTAATTTGTTTGCACATTTTTCCTGTCTTATTAACTTGATTTTTCTGTGGGCTTAGCGCTAGAGTGGAGGTTATGCAACCACGCCCTTGTCCCAGTTAGGGGTCTACGGAGTTGTACTCGTGATTGAAGGACGCCGCATTAAATCGCATAAGTGGTCTAATTGTGAACAAACACAGAAGTGACTGCACTAGTTGAAATTGTGGGTGTTGCGTAAAAATATTTTACGTGAAAAAAGCTCGTAAATTCGTGGGATCCTTGCCTGCGAATACACTCTCTCTCCTTGCTCGATACCGCTAGGGACGTTTGAACATCCCAAGCCTCTGTATGCGCTCTCTTACCCATTGTTTCACTACTTTTTTTCAGCGCGACTCAACGGACTTGAGAAGTTCCAATACATTAAGATTATCTCTATCCCAGTAAAGATACCATCATTTTGACGGCAACTGTCAACCCTCTTCGGTTTTATCGTGTTGTCTTCCTACATGTCGTCGTTTTTGTTGCTGTCACTGGTAGCCTCTCAGTCTTCGTGATCATTTTCGCCAATTCATTGAACAGAAGCTTCAAAGTATTCCAAACTATCACGTAGTTATTCTCGTAAGACAGAAACTTGGGATAGTGCTGAGTGTATTCTATCGTCATCATCGTCATCATCATCGTTCTCGTTTTCGACAATAGGGAGCTTAAGCAACAACGACGAAGGCGACGGTTACAAAAACGTCACTTAAAAAGTGAATTCGCGCTGCCTCAAACTTTATCGCGCTTATTCCATCCCGTTTAATTCGTCAAATGTTGGCAAATTTACTTTGAGTTGAATTCTAAAGGACTGTATCAAAGTTCAAGAAAAGAAAAAGAGAGTTGTTGTCTTGTGTTCCCGTCCCGGACAAAATGTGAAATTAGGCACTTTCACGTCGTAGTCGTGCACAGCGGCTATGAAATGTAGCATGCGAGGTGAAGCCCTCCCTGAGGTAGGAGGGTGGGAGAGCGCTATATCCCTTCCGTGTAGAGCTGGCTCGCAGGCTAAAGGCTTTGGAGAAATTGAGGTGGACAATGTCAGTTTCATTACCATTGCCAAGAGTGAAGGCAATGCTGTCGTGAATTACGGATTCTAGGCGCTGACTACGCGCGCTGTGCACGGTATGCGTTGAAAAAGCTTCCTCGATCTGTTTTTTTTTAAAATTTATTTTCACTATTACAATTGCACTATCATTTTGCTGTGATATATGTCATGCTCCATACAAGTTCATTTGTAGAAACAACTTCCAGTTCCATCGTTCATTTTCACATTAAAGATCCCCGTCTAAAACAGTAAAAAAACCTCTCTGATTGACCTTAAACCTAGCAGGGATGGCTAATATCCCGGCCAGTGTTGAACTTGAGATCATCTGCAATTAACCACTTTTGTAATTTTTGTAATTTTCCCCCCTAGTATCACTTAGCTACCGCCAAACGTCCCATTGCCAGATTAGTGAAAATCGGTGGCGACTTTTGTAATTAAGGATGAAGACTAAAGAATATCTTTAGTTTGGAGACAAAGAGACTAACACTTTTGTTCTTTGGAAGCTGCGTCTGATTTTAAAATAATGGAGGATCGAGACCAGCCGACGGAAAAAATCAAGGCTCTGATATGGCGAAGGATAACTTCTCAAAGAAGACGACGGTCAGACTGACCGTGGATTTTTTAAAAGACCATTTCTCAGCGCTAAAAGGTGTGCAATGAGTTTAAAACTCCCATATTAAAATTTTCCAATGATCTTTATTGGACTAACTATTGTCAATGCCATTTCAAACGTCAGGTGAATCAACATTTCTAATTGAAAATGAACACCTAATCACAAGATAGTATAAACAGTAGTTCTGAATATTTACTTTCTTCACTTTTCTTTGGCAATTCATTTGTAGCGAGCCTTTTTAAAAGACTCAGCAATGAGGATAACCAACTCTGAGGTAAGTTGCAGATTGAATTAAGCTGGGGATCTCGTGTTTCAGTCAACTAACCAATTTTTCAACTATCAATTCTACCAAGACTTCCCGTCATGTATCTGCTGTCGTCCATTGCTGTTTCTTTGCCTCAGTTACTTTAGTTCAACCCTTCCCGATCCAAAAACTAGCAGCGGCTATTTAAGGACTCGTTTCTCGAAAGAAGTGATTATAATTAAGTTTCCAGCCCTTAAACCATCCCAAACCTAAATAAAATGATTCACCCTAGTACATGTAATGTCAATGTTTCGCTTGCACATGGCTTTCCAGGCCTAGGGCCCCCAGCATTTTCAAAAATCTTTCCAAACTGGAATATAACAGCAGTCATACTCTAGCAAACATAACCTAATTTACAGCGACTCATAATTTTAATCGTTACCCTCCGGCCGTAATAATTTTTGCTTTAGAAACTTTAACATGGTATTACAAATTGATGACCACTCGGATATAACGTCTTTGTCATGTTGGCAAAATTTCAAATATTAGGAAAGGTGTAGCCGATTGAAAAAGAAGTTTCTCTTCAAATTGATCCAACAAAGCTTTCTTTTTGATCATTACGCTGATTCTTCAAAATTTTTAAGGCTGATACTTAAAAATCTCGACAGAACCACCATTAGTGTGGTTACAGCCCCATGCATGACCAGGCTAAGGCGTCTTTCCAAAAACAAACTCTACAAGTGTAATGGACATTCTTTTCTTCTTTCCCTCCAAAAGAAATCTACACCAACATAAGCTACGAGTGTGTTATTTTTCTGTAAGAAACGATTTGATTTCCTCCAGATGTTAAGATATTTGGTACCATACAGCAGCTAATGGTCAGGCGTAAAACTTCACCACTACGTGACCCCAAAACTACATTTTCAGTTTAGCTGTCGCTGCCGTTTTGGAATATTGAAATTCTAAAATCCAAATGGCAGTTTAGTTTAAGAGGGAATACTGGTTGAAAGCATTGTTTTTCGTTTATTTCAGCCCTTTTTCTTAAAATATCTAACCAAGATTTTATTTAATCGAACAAAATAATAATTTTTAATATTTTCAATGATTTTTCGAATGTTCTTAATGTAGAAGAATTAGGGGGGAATTAATAAAAATTTTGGAAAATTGGAGAATATTGGATTTGGGAGTTGCTAAAAATTAAAATATGAAGTGAATACTTAGTAAATAAATACTAGATAGACCTCCACCACAATTAGGAGCCTCTGGCACCTCTGGTTAGCAGACTAACTGGTTTACGTGTATATCTTTTCTACCCTGATTTATTTCCTTCCCAAGTCAACAACAACACCCACACTGCCCCCTGTTAAGATATAAGAACTTTGAATTTGCAGTAAGACCAAGCAAAAACCCACTTCGTTCGCTTAAAGTTTACATCTGTCCTGACGGGAAGTCAGTAATGATGGTAAACCCGCGATCGTGGACGAAACGTTTTTAACTGGCATCGTGTCGGAAAGAAGACTGCAAGAAGATTAATATAATAATTTGATTCAATATTAAGCGATTTAGCAGAAATTATTTTTGAACAAAAATAACCCCAGCCATCATGTACAGAAAATGATAATTTAAAAAGCAAGCCTTGTTTTTATGAATGCTGCCTTTAGCATTATTTCGTGCTCTAAATTTCCATACTCGCAAAATTGTCAGGAAATCTTTTGAGTTTAATGTCGCCTATTGAAATTTATTGATAAAAAATCATTAACGCATGAAAGCATTAACTTTCAGGTTTTGATTTGTCTTCTGTACCTCACTTAAGCACTGAAATTTTAGTTTCTACTACAACAGAGCTTCGTGAATAGCAAAGCAATACCACCACCACCACCACCACATTTCTATTGTTTTTCTCCACCGCCACCACATTTCTAATGTTTCTT